CCATCCTGTTCATCATCTGATTGTCTTCTGGAGCCCCCACCAGGAGCCATGATCCTCCAATCTAAAAAAAGAGAGTGACTTAACATTACATTCTACAAGTTATTATGGACAAGATTCAGCAAGTTATAACACACCCCTACAGTCTCCAAAAATGAAAAAAAAAATGCCTTTTCCAGCTAGCAAGAAGAGAGAAAATTTTAAAAATAAATTATGTACAAGTAGTCATTATGAAATGTGCTCAATAGCAAAAAAAAAAATGTTATTTTATTACTGACTCAGAGTTAATTTATATCTATGTCAAGCATCTAGAATTCTGCAAGAACACAAACCATTCAGAAGAAGGCAAAACAATTTTATGTAGTCAGTTTCCCAAGGCAACCACAGTATCTGATATCTAAGTCAATATTTACAGAAGGTATTCTTTGTGACATTTTTTTAAAAGTATTATTATTCTCATAGTACAAGAAAGTATTGGACTTCAAAAGCTGTTGCTTAAAGAAAATCTAAACAAAATTTGTTACCTAAACTCAAATATGCACCAGAATCAAGCAATCACCATGTGATTGTCACTCGTCACACTAGCAATTTTCATGGAAAATTTCTTCATCATTTACAACATTTATTATTTCTGTGACTGAATCTACACTACCAAATGAAAGCACTTAAAAATCACTGCTTCTTAAAAAATATTCACATTTGAATTCTTTTAAGTATAAGAAATCAAAAGCAAAAAAAACAGTCACAATCTTTTACATGGCAAAAAAGAAACAATTAATTCATAGAACAAATACCTCTGTTTGAATCAAGTATTACTTTCAAGTCTATAAAAGTTTTCAGTTGTACAATGCTTGTTGGTCCGGTATCCCTATACTGTTTATTAAACTGATTAATCTGCCGTTTATTAATCCTTCAAGTCTAATATTAGATTTGACATTTCTAAAATTAGAACAAGACAATGAAAGCTTTTATTCCACACTATCAATGATACTTGCCCACAATGGATTTTTATGAGTCATATTCTATCATTTTCAAATAATTAGCTCATCAGATGTGTTTCTTAAAATAACCCCCTCCTCCAGTAACACTTAGTCCAATGCGATACCCATAACTGCCCCACTCTACATGAATGGGAATCAACAACAACAGCGATGCCAGTCAACGAATTCAGACTTCCTGGAACAATCTGTTTTGTTTTAGTTTTGAAAGACTATCACATGGAAAACAGCCAAGTTTTAATTCGCATCTTTAACCTTTCAATTGATAAACAAATAAATAGATTATTTTTAATTTTCATAGTCGAAAATTAAGTGGGCACGGTTCGTATAGTATTGTCGACACAACTTAAGCGTCTCGATGAAAAACATAACTTCTGTTTTGAATTTTTTGGCCCAACCGATACTAAAAATTGATATGTACTTTACTACAAGAAAATATACCAACAGTTTGAGCACCAACACAAGTTATTTGCGAATAAAATGTATGTGAAATGAAACAGACATCAAACCCAGCTAAACTTGGGCTTATTTCTTACTACAACGAGAGAAAGCATGTTCGATGCTCAAATCTTTCTTACGCAACTTCGACTTGAATTTATCACTATTCGTTAGTATCTTGACACGGTTTGTACCTCAGACAACTTGATTTTTTTTTTACTTCCACAGGAGTAAGAGACCAAAAAGAGTTTAACGTACTAGACTAAGTCCCTTTCAAACATTCCAGCAAATTTCACTAAGGGAGTCGCGTGCCGTTTACAGCCGCAGAAAAATACAAATTCATCTCGGGTTACAGCGTTGTAAAAACATAAAAGAACAACTGTTGGAAAGATTCCTGTCGAAACCTTGACAGAGGGCTATTCTCAAAAAATTTTCAATCAATTCTTCAACGATCAAAATATCTTGTCACGTTTGGACATAGCGATCAATAAAATAAGAAAACCTTTCGGGAAGAAAAAGACTTTCCGATAAATTTTATGCGTTCGATCTACTCACCAGTTTAAGGGAGTGGAATTTAAGACTTGGCTCTTGAAAATGTTCCTCAGCTATAAGAGATAATATTTTTCACGTCTTCGTACCCGCGAGTCTCAACCCTGCATATTTAAACCGATGTCATGGCGGAAAGAACCTGGCTGATCAAGCGTTCGACGTTGATTGGGCACAATATAAAACGGCTTCCGTGATTCGTGGATTTTTCTCAATTTCAGTGATGTCATCGAATGACGCGCGCCAACTTCAAAGTTTTCCCGCAACTTTTCTAGCTCGTAAAAAATCGCTAAAGTCGTCCCATGCTTATTTTGAACGCGTTTTAGGCAGAGAAATCATATTTTCTAATTGCATTGGACTAGAAAGGCGAGGAAACAAAATTTCGCTTATTCAGCATTATAAAAACGGGAATTAACCAAAATAACAGAAACAAAAAAGCCATCTGCTGGTGTTTTTGAAATACGTGCCCAGACAGGTTACAAAGCACACAAAGCAATTAAATATTTCAAGCCATTTATTTTGTCATAATGATTAGACGTGTTTTTCACCGTTTGTTCTCTATTTTAAGACATGACTCATGAAAGATATGTTACTAGTATTCGCCCATCACATGCCATGGGTAAAAAAAATTGAACCACTTCCACTTTACTCAGCAGAAAAGAAAGTAGTTGTTTCCCTTTGGAACGGAAATGGAACGGAAGATAAATCGAGCATGTAGTGCACGTGCTCTATTGTAAGGCGCTAGATCGGCAGCAGAAGGGTATTTCCCATTTTAATTATTTATAAACTAAGCGGCTCGGTCGGTTAGATCTTCGCAAAAGTACAAAAAGATATAATTGTTTGTTCATCTACCGACAAAAACGAAACACAAAAGTTATGATATTGATGAACAGAAACCCTGTGATACAACTTTGTAAGGGCTTACTCGGGTTAAGTGCAGAAGAGCATCCCAATTCTAACTAAATGATAAAACTACAAGTTTTTATACCTGTCTACTCAGAAACTATGAACTTATCATAATCTACAAACGCACCTTTTGATGGCTATGGTAAATGACAGCTAAAATTCAACTCTGCGCGGTCAAACAAAGCAAACCACGAAAAAAAAACCCACGCTTAACACTCTCCAAAATAGTCGATATGATCTCACAGTTCTAACTGAAAAGATATGAGACCCGTACTATCTGTAACTCCTTTTTCGTGGAAATTTTACTTTGCGGAAGTTTGATGCGTGGGTGATCAAAATGCACACAAGTATATTAATCTCAAAGTAAAAGTATTTCCATCTCGTTCTACAGAGTCAGGTCCTTTTTCAAGGCAAGGTGACAATGAACTATTGCTTTGATAGAGTTAAAAAGAATGGAGAGAAAATCTATCAAATTTAAGTATTGGGCTCTGAGTCTTGAGACTATGCATAAACTTTTGTGAATGCCTTTTCATTGGTGTCATTAATTCGTTGATTAGCAGACCGCAGAACCTCCGGAACCCATATTTTTTGTAAAGAAAAGTAACGAAACGAAATAAATAACCAAAAAGGCCCTAACACTGTTTGAAAGTTCGTTTCGGATATACAGAGGATTACACTTAAAGAGAATTATGTTTTAATCGTCCTTGACATCCAACTAGAAATAGCTGACTTTAATTACGGCGAAATTTACTGTAAAAGGTATGCAATTTTATAAAGAGCTATTAAATGGTTTAGTTTTGATCTATTTTTTTTTCCGTTTCTTTATTCTATAAAGAAAAGTACAGGTTCCGCAGTCAAGTAACTCCGCTTTTTTATGCCATTTTACACGTCACGGAAGTGATTTTCCCACCAAAGAAACATTTCTCTCGAAGGCCTTGGGAGCATTACAAGTGACAGTGGAAAACACAAGAATAAGATAACATAAGATATTTAATATTTTGCATTCATTTGCATCCAAAAGCATACTTTTAAAGGGGAATACGTGATGTTTACATAACCGACTGAAATGTAAATAGTGGTTCGAGGAGAATGATTTTTCTTGTTCCCTCCCCTCCCCTCCCCTCTCCCATCCTTGACCTTGAACTATTAAGAGTGTATATACAAATATTATGATTGTGATGATTTCAATCAATGGTAATCTGAACTTGTCACTTTTATATCGTTGTCAAGGTCAGTCCTACTAGATAGTTTCCGCTCTACTGGACGATCTAATTTTATTACGAATTCGAAACTGGTGGCAAACAAAAAGGAAAAAATAAACAAAACTTACAAAACAGACTTAAATGAGGATCTAAAAGGGCTGATGTTTACAGCTGACAGTTAAAATGTGGCCAAATTATGGCTAACGGTTGATATCTTTTCATTGCGGTCACCAGAAAAAGTTTTTACGATTAATTTTTTTTCGACTAACGATTGAAATACGTCAATTTTTACGCCTAAAAGCTTAATCTTTTGGCTGTTTTACGACGAACAGTTAGCCCCATTAAGACCTTGTTAACAAGAGGAATCGGGAGGAGGGAAGAGGAAGGCTCTTTGTATGATACCAAGAGATCTTTAACATCATGATAATATCTTGGGTACTAGTATTGCTCAATTTTTGTCCAAATTATTCTCAATATTATATACATTATGTTCGCTTTTGATATTAAAATTATGCTATTTTCTCTCTAAGTACGATTTCCAGAAGAAAAAAAAACAAAAAAGTTCAAATTATACATTTATTTGCAATAAAGCATGGTGTCTCCTTAAAATAAGTTTAATATTTGCTCTATGAAAACATTATTAACTACTGGACTTACTCCAAGACCAAAAGCGGTGACTTAATGTGTCATAATGTACGATATTAGCATCACGTTTCCCTTCCATGTCTATTTGTCGCCTGTGAATCGACGCAGTCTTTACTTCCGGTGTGCCCAGTCCCTTAGACGACGAACTACACAGAAATACGGTAATCCACTTCACCTTAGACATTGAAAATTTGAAAATAGACTGAGACATGGACCGAACTTGAAAATAATCAATTTTAGAGACCAAAGAAGTCATGACTCTAGTGATGTTTCTCTCAAAAAAAAATTTTAAAATATGCTGATCATGCTTGAAGTGCAACTTTTATAAAAAGGGAACAGATTATGCTCGTTTTTTCAAATTATGCCTAAAACTATGCTAACACAATCTCTAAGGGCCCATTCTGATAAGTAGTGATATAAAAATGGGAAGTATCACATTAAAAATGTGTTACCGCTGCGATTACGAAAACTCACATTTCCTAAATGTGACGAAGATGGGGTCTATAACTGGCCACAGAATAGACCATAATGGAATAGGGATTCTGTAGGACCAGGAGCGACAATCGACCCAAGTATTCCCGCACCCTTCCCCCCTTCCTGAGGCTTACCCACCATGAGTTTTAAAATATGTTACAGAAAGGCAGCAGCCTTTCATTGAAACAGTGCTACCTATTTGTACCAGTCCCCTCGAAGACCTCTCACTGGCTTCGTAAGATCGCAGGCTCATTTGTTCATGCTAACTTACTTGTTTCTCAAGTACAATGTGTCCGTCCATCAAGGAAATAAGTAACCAAATGATTGAATGCAGAAGAACAGACTTGATCTGATAAAATACCTAATCCAGTCAGCATAGTTTAAAGTTTACAAGCACCAGATCGAGAGGGGTACCAGGATCTTCTTTGCAGATAATGTGACACTTCACCATTTACTTCATGAAGTAGAACCTAATTGCTCGGTGTTCTATGCAAACAGAGCACGAGATATAGTCACGACAGTGAGAGATGAAGTTTGTTCACTTGATGATCAGCTCTTCTCCATAGCAATATGTGGGAAACTATCAAAGGTTTCCTTCGACGGCACAGAAGGAAATTTTTCATCACAGGAGCAGTTGTCGGTGGAGTTTACCTGCTTAGTCGCTACGCAAGATGGCGTCTTGCAGAGTGGCAGCGACAGCAAGAAATGGAATACGTCGAACAGGCAAGGAAACAACACCATTTTGAGAGCAATCAGAGAACTTGTACCATTACGTTATTCTCCTTAGTGCCAAATTTACGCGATGCGTTGATGGAGAAACTCAACTGCGAAGCAATAACTGGAAAACTTCGTGAACGGCCTTCTAACAAGTTAGAGCTTTGGGAGCAACTGAAAGTTCTCAGTTTTACCCGTACTATAGCGTCAGTGTACTCATCATGCATGCTGTTTGTGTTCCTAAGAGTGCAGCTGAACATTATTGGGGGTTACTTGTATCTAGATAGCTTGACGATGACGGGAGAAGCCTCGAATGGAAAAAATGGAAAGAAGGTACACATTGCTGAGGGACTACAGAAGAGGTACCTTGCCGTGGTTAGATACCTGATGGGTGATGGACTGGATTTTTTGATAGAAGAGATCAGGAGAACTGTTGAAGGTAAAACTAATGGTTGATGGACTTCCTTTCTTTGAGCTATTTCCAAGCTGCCAAAGAAGATAGCTCAGAGAAATGGTTGTTTAACACTTACTAATTTGAATAGGGCACCGAAAATATATTTCATTCGACCTAACTCTTTCCCGAGAAAGTTTACATTTACAGAGTCACACAGAAGAACTAATCTGTTGCAACCCATTTCCTCAATAGCCAGATTAACAAAAAAAAATACACTTAATCCTTTCATCTCAACATTATATTTTTACCCCTAAGTACACAATATTAATACATACATTTTCCTTGATTTGCTGATTACCACAAAGCTGTGAATCTAAGTATTAGCAAGCTACTTGTAGAAAATGTTGAAACAATTTAGAAATTTGACTCCAATTCTTTCACCCATAGGTGAATTTGTAAACAAAACATGATGTGAGTATGAGAGCAATCTTTGCAGCAATGAACACTACTTAAATAAGTATCAGTGAAAATAAGGCCTGAAAAAAATTTCAGCCTGTATGGGATTTGAATCCAAGACCTCTGCAATACCATTGCAGTGCTCTACCAACTGAGCTAAAAAGCCAATTGGCAGCTGGGCATTATGTTGTTTCCAAATAAACCCTTAAAGTGATGCATGAAACCTGATGTGTCTGTGAAATGCAGAAGAACTAAGCTATTTGAATTGCAATAACAGATGAAGAATTAATACAACTTTTTTCAGAAATGTTGGTATAAAACAAAGCTTTGTGATAATTTGCAGCAGTTTAAAGGGGGGTCTGAAGCCTCAAATTGAACCATTTTAAATTATAAATCAAACACTTTTTTCAGTCTTTGGGCTCAACTTAGTGTTGATATATTAAATAGTTTTATATCGTATCTTAACCCAGTAGCATTGCAGCTTAGGAAATTGATATCAGCAGTCGATATTATGTCACTGTTGGAGACACTCTTTGCTTCAAACCTTGCTTTTGGCAGGCTTATGAATTTTTGTGGCTCTTTATGGGGATTGAATTTGAAAATGGAATAATAATGCACAGTTCTTACAGAAAATTTTAGGCTTCAGGCTGGGCTAGGATGGGCTGGGGATGTCATAAATGGATCAGTAAATATGTTTGTGTTGTTTATCTAGTCATTCTTTTAACTTCGCATCAACTATTTTATATGGTCGTCCATGTTCTATTTCTTTTCCCCAGTAATCACATTTGAAATATTCAATACTTTCATATACTGAATATATTTGAAAACCTTATCAGCTCAGTAGTCTGCAGGATAGAGATCTATGGCAAAACTTGACGCATTTGTATACAATCCTGAGCCCAGTTTAGTGAGTCACAATGAGTTGTTACATTAGGTAATGTAGAGAGATGTGTTTGTGCATATGGTATGCTTAGTAAAAACTTTTTTGCAAACATGGTGTGAACTTCTTCAAGGTTAGTATTAATTTTATTTTGGGAAAGAATTAGTTTTGTTAGGCTTTCTTTAACTTCACTTGTGTAAACATTCACATTGCTTCCCACAAAAGCGGTAAAGTGATACAGTATTTACTATTTGTCTAATTCAGTTTATAACCATCAGTAATTTATTCACAGTGTATTGCACAGCATTTGCATGTACCATTGATTAGAGTAAAAGTAAAGTCATTGCAAAACATGGAGTAAGCTACCAAATACCAAACTCTTAAAAGAAATTGGCTGGCAAAAAAAGGAAAAAGGGAACTTCAAATTGAATTTTCTGGTAAATAACAAGAAGTGAGTGAAATAAATACTGATTCATTATCGTATTCCTCCAAAGCCAACCAGAAATGAATGCCAAAAAAATTACAATTTTAGGTTTCAGTTTTCCTGATTTTGACATGTCCATTGACTCAGCCAAAAAGAGTTTAAGAAAAAAATTTCATTAAACTTGATTCATGTTATGGTATGCGATAACAATATCATAAACTTAAGGTATTTGAGAAGTTGTGTATTACATTTGATAGCTACAATACAAAAAGACTGGTTTGACAGGTTCCTGGTAATCATATGTTGGGGTGATCTCAAATGGTTTAAAACTATATGGCAATAATTTCATTCAATTTGTTCATGTTGATATTGTTGTCTAGGTCACTCCTTGTTCAATGTCTTATTTCTCAGGTTCCTTTTGCAATTTGTCAAAAAATACTTTTCAATGGTTGCTGAAGTTTCCTAGTTGACTAAGGAAAATACCAATGTGAAGCCAATACATGAAAAAATGACCATCATGTTGATAATGTTTTAAAGCTTAATTTTTTATTTTTCATGATTTCATTTTCACCTTGTCTTTCAGACATTTTAGGTGAGATATCATTGAAAGAAAAGTTCAGCCTTGAGGAACTGACCCGACTCATCAAACACATACGACAGTCAATGGAATTTCCAAACCACAGTGTACCTATCAATGGCAAATTAAAAGATGCTTCAAACCAGCCAACTAAGAATGGTCATCACATGAGACCACTCACAAAATTCATGCTGCCCACAGATGTTGAAAGTTTGTGTGACACAGTTGGTAAAGAAGGAGATGATAACTTCAAGAATTTAATAGGGGAAACTCTTGATATTCTGGAAAGTGAGGACTGTCTGTTTGTGTTAAAGATGTGTTTAGATGCTGGATTTGCTCATGTCATGCACAATATGATTCCCTTCTTTCAAGCTGAGGAACTAGGTGAGTTCATAAGCCTCTACTTTTAAATTTTACACATGTGTACATGCTACTAATACAAAGAAATACCTATTGCATGTACAGGGATGTAGAGAAGAGCTGGCAGCTGGAAAAAATTATCAGCTTTTCCTGAAAAAATTTCCAGCTGATGAATTTTGAAGGATGATATACAACTGCCAAAATAGATAATACATTAAAATATTGTGATGAACAAAATACACAATTGAAAACATTATGAAATTAAAATATTTATTTTGTTTTTCTTTGTAATACGCTTTGTGTAAATACATGCACAATTACATGTATTTGTGTTATTTTAGTCATTGCATGTGACAGCACAGTTTGACAGTTTGTCTGAGATGTGAATTTATCCTACATTTCTGATAATCACCCTGTTACTTTATGTGTAGTCCAATCAAGAATCAATTTCTATTGGTCTCAAACTCAGAAATCAATTGAGTCATATTCAAAAATGCTTTTAAGATCCTTTCCTTTCTGTTTCATATTTGTAACATTTGAAATCAGTTTTCGTTTGACCAATCTCCGACAGAGAAGTAAGATTGCATTTTTGTAAGAGAAATAATTATTATGGAAGAGTTACATATATTCCTGTACTACTCTTACATGTGATTAGCTCGGTGAGCAAATAGGTCATGGTCCTTTCTGATTATTTTAGGTTGAACTCTAGTTAATGGTTAAAATTTTTCAAACTTATACAACTTATACCTGACATTTTCAACAGAACTTGGTGCTGTTGGAGGCATTGAGCTTGAATCAACCCTTGATCTCCCACTGGCCAAAATCATTCCTATTATTAATGGACAGATTAACCATGTCTTGTGTGACTCAGATAACAACTACTTCCAAGACTTGTTCAAGGTTGGATCTGCAAGAGACTTTGCAGCAAACATTTATGAAGCATTTAGCTTTGAGTTGGATTAGATGTCTGCAAATAAGACAACATCACAACTGACCATACAGACGTAGAACAGGCCTTGAGGGGCCTTGAGACCTCAGACTGTAGATTTCCTCATGTGCTGTAAGGTTTAATGTAAGGCAGTAAAGGATAGATCATATGAAGATGTACAGCGCATGTGTAGCCTTTTTTATCCATCTTCCAAAATGAGAGCGTAGGCTCCTAAAGGGACTGGAGATATTTGTATCAGCAAGTAATTGAGGTCTCTGTGGACTGTGCTTTATTCCTAATTCTCATTTTTGGTTTATTAGTGGTAAACTTCTTACTTGCTTCTCAGATAATTGATCCATGCCTCCAATGTAAATACACATATCATAACAATGATATACATGATTGTGTAACTACTGGTAATCAATACATACAACAGAAATAGTCATGATTCAATCATAAACCAATTTTCATACCTAAATATACCAAAATGTCTTCCATAAGACCAATGCTTCCCTGCAAGTTGCAAGTTGGTATTATGCAATGTCTGTTTTACTTAAATGTAAAATTAGACTTCATGATTCTTGATGATGAACCTGCAAAGATTATTTAGTTATTTATAGAGATGTGTTTGGGGGGGGGGGGGGCTCAGAAGACTGTGATTGGTTTAGCTTGTCAGAGTCAAGGTCTTCTTTATATCTGAAATTATTTCTGATAAAGAGTTTGTTTTGTAAATGTGTTATTTTGATTATGAAAACATGTAGACAGGAAATGATTTAATATATACTTTACAATTTTTACCTTGCATTTAGTGTATGTCAAAAACTGTTATCTGACTGACAAAAAACAAAATGATGTGTCAGTAGCTAGACATAAAGTGAGCGATAACATCCTAAGAATTCAATTCCATTTTTTTAGTGTTACTGTGTTACTTTTTGTGTTTAACATCAATATGGTGATCTTGAGAATTTAGCCATAGTTTTGTTTTTGATCAGAAAAATACATGTATGTATTTGCTTGAAGGATTACCAGCCCTCCACCTCTCCCTCTGAACACTAGTCATTTATTTTTTCTGAAACTGTTTATTTCATTTATGTATAACCTAGAATTCTTTAAGAAACAAGCATAACTGCAAGTTAGCCCTTCTAGAAAAGCATAGAGAGAGGAGAATGAAAAGAGGGAAAGTGAAGATTTTTAAATATGATTACCAGTATATGTTTTTGATGTATAAGTGAAGTGTTTTACATTTCATTTGAGTTTTGTTTAAGTTTTGTTGAAGGATTCACTTTATTCACTCTGCATCTCGTTGTTGTTGTACAGCATTCCTGTTACTTCGTGTTTAATGTGCATTGTGATGACATAGAGTTTGGGGAAATAAAAACTATTGCTTACAAAATCAATCTAGATCCTGCGCTAAGAATTAATAGAGAATGATGTGTATTTTATTGTCTTGGCTTCAACACAACATGGAAATGCTTGTCACTAAAATTACACCTCAGCATAAAATGCTCGGGTGTTTTTCCTGTTTCAAAATGGGAAAGAGAGCATATCCTTGTGCACACTAGTGCCATATCAGTTTTGAAGGTCTTTGGTCATTAATACACTTTGTGACTACATACCAGGCTGTGATTTCATTTTCCATTTTGTGTCAAATGTTATTCAGAGTGGGTCGGGTTAGATATAGACTCGAAGTTATCACATGACACCAAAATCGCTCAAGCCTGGGCGCCATCCAGGTAGTTGGGCCATGCAGTAGACAGCAGATACCTCAGACCAGTAAGCCGTCAGTGACGAATTAGAGAGGTTCACGATAGTCTCTGCGTCTGACTCAGAATTTTCAAGACATCTATGTGCATTTTCAAGGTATGGAAATGTGAAATTTTCTCTGAACTGCTACGATTAGGAGATTATGCTAGTTGACTATCTTTCAGCGCATTGCGAAGAGCTTATCACACGGCGTATATTAGAACGAACAACCAGCTGTTTATGTTATTTTAAACAGTTAGATGCCCAGTTCCTATCTTCAGCTGCAGCAAAACACAGTGATATAAGTAACATCGATGGTATTTAGCTGATTAGTGATTTTCTTGGTTGTACCTTTTACATTCTTGGCTGTAGCAAATACCTGATAAAACCTAAGAAACTTGATACATTTACACCTAATGCGCTAAATTTATGATGATGATGAGGTTCTCGAGGAAAGATACTTTATAGCCTTTGTCTGACTGACTTGTTCATGGCGATAGATCGATGAGATACGAATCTTTAAGGATGATATGGGAGTCGAGTGAAGCTTATTTCGAGCCACATTGAGTGCAATGGAGCAAAAAGCGCCGCATAATCATCTTTTAACCGTGCTGCCCGCGTGGGACAAACGGCACCTCACAAAAAGACTGACAACAATGACTTTCAAAGAGCGACTTGTGCTAACTAATCAGGAACTAACACTAAGGTGCGGCATCTCTCACGTATCGTCAATAAATGTGATGAATTGTTTGAAATATTCACCTTAATCTAAAAAGTAACTTTTAACAACTCATAAATAACTTCAGAGTAGAGTAAAACAGGACTGAGAAGTGTTTTATCCCTGCCACCTTATAATTCCAAAGGCTTCACAGAAGTCGCATCGATGTGAGAACTACAAAATCTCGTTTGCAAAGAAAAATCGAACTCTGTAGTTTCTTATAAAAATTAGTGCGTCGTTCCATTTTACGAATCAAAATGAAATGCTAAAAGAAAATGATCTTTGCTTCTTCAAAATTTACAACCGGCTGGCTCTTTTTTTGAGCAAATACCCGCATCTGATTGGTTGACTGCAGCTCATTTGCTGTGAAGTTGTGTCTACCTGTGTCACTGAGAGTTTCGCGCCAAAGAAGCGCGGCTGCGCCACTGTCACTAGTGCCTTTCAGCCTGCTTCACTCACCATGGCCATTTTCGTTGACTTCCCTAATAAATCGTCAATAATCAAACTGAAATCGATGGAAATTCACAGTGTATTCGACAAACGAAACCTGGAACGAGAAAGGAAGGTGTTCGAGGTCGATGATTTAATAGTCTTCCTATTTCTTTTTGTGGTTAAAAGCTCCCTTGTAGTTTCTCGTACATTCTGTCTAAACTAAACAAATAATTTGGGATGAATATAAGTAGAACACAATTTTAACTACTAATTAATCTTGCGACATAATCTTGTCCCATCTGATGGTATTTTGGCCGACATCTACTGCAAACAAATCAAGACATTAGCGCCAAATAAGCTTCTCATTGGCAAACATAATCTTTTATGTGCAACACGTTGTCAACGAAACAATGCGTCAAATTTTCCCAAAAACAAACGAGAGTCTTAGCGCTTTAATTACAACAAGAAACTAATCACTCAAATTTAGAAATAGTCCGTCTTCCGACAACAAAATAGTCGTCAAATGATCCCTAAAGTGCCTCAGTCAATTAGAGGAAGAATGGCGAAGTTTGTTCGAACAGACGGTTCTTTTGTTAGCGACTAGCGTGGAGATGAGTTAGTGAATCGGAATAAGTGGTGACCCACGCGTCTCTGCAGACACAAGTTTGATGAGTTTCTTTGAAAAATGCTTCGTTATGGTGAAAAGGCACTTAAGGCTTTCCAAACCGTGACGATATTACAAGCGGCTGTTCACAGGATATTGTGTCAAATAAGTGGCACAAATACAAGGTAAGAAAGTAAACAAAACCATTTCTCCTTTTGAACAAGTCTTTCTGCGAGAGGCAACCTGTTATATGCTGTTAAATGCAAACTGAAACTTAATGCATTGGGAATACAAAAGTTCAAGTTTGGAGCATTCAACTCCCAAGCTACAAAACTTATAAACTTTGCACTGTTCGAGCATACTATGAATTTCTGTCTTTGCTGGATAAACAAATTGCAATGATAATTTGGTTTCGTTAGGATTTGAACTGAATGTTAAATTTCGTGTTAAGTCTCATAACACCCATTGGGATATGGAAAACTACTCAATAAGGTGGTGTGCGTAGTGAAAGTTGTAAATGTGGAGCTTGTTATTGCTCGTCACATTACCAACACGAACAGATCATAAAATTATAAAATCAATTGTGATACAAGTCAGCTTCCTGATACTTAAAAGAGAAATCGTTTTGATGGTGTAACTTGTGTGTTCAGGCTCCATTATATTAGTATATTGATACACTTTGCCGACAAAGGATTAATCTTACCATCCCATAACTTTGTGAAGTTATGAGCGAATTTCACTGAAGCAACAAAGAGGAAACCGAGTGTCAACTTTTTCTAAAAACAGCTGTCGTAAAGCAACACAAAACAAAACAAATAGCAACAAAAATAACAACAATTTGGTCTTCTCCGCAGAAACTTGACACTAGGTTGAACTCAAATGTAAAATTAACATATAAAGTGCTGAAATAACCGTAAAAATATGCATTTATACACTAAACATATCCTACCTTTCCTGATAAGAATAACAATGAGAGAGCTTAGCATGTAATCAGATCCTCGTCCACCCATATCTATGAAGTAACGTTTGAATTGTTTAGAGATATTTTGCATGGCAGATGTTTTTTCTCCTTTAAGTTTCTCAGTTTTGCGCAGAAATTCACCGCGCATCCGGCCGATAGTGGGACAGATTCTATTTTGTTTTCATTTCATTTTTCATATTTCAAGAGGAATAGTACTTGCTGAATGTCGGCCGAAAGTCTGAAGTTTGAAAATTGTCTTGTGCATCAAACTCTGAGTTTCTTTGAGATCTAAGGGATACTTAAATTATTTTCGAGTGAAACAGAAAACTGAACGAATTGATGAAGACATGTTAGAGGCTTAAAAGAAGTTGAGATGAAAGCTTTATGGCTCGTCTAACATTTTATTACGCAAACAAGATAAATCTCCCCGCACCCTTTATAGAGAAACAAGTCCATTCTCCTGGTTGGTTTTCGTAGCCATTCCAAAAGTATTCAAAAGCGTTTTATTGGAGTTTCCTTCATTCCCAGTTGTTACTGATATGTCTTTATTATATCAAGTATGGTAGAAATTCCGGATTGAAATTAATATCTATAATAAGACAAGTTGTTCAAGTTAAACAAAGCAGGAGTATGGAAGAAGGATGACGCTGTTTCGCAGCTACGGCCAATTTATTCCATTTGATATAAGCCGTTTAAATCGTACCAAACAGGAACGTCAATCAATTTTCCCTGTGACTCCGCCTAACGTCAATAAACGGGGATCTGTGAATTTGAAAACTTAAAAAATGTCAATACCAGGCACAAAGGTTATATTTGTGAAAAGCAGAATTTATAAGTGCTGTTCGTATTATTTAGTAAGTGCAAATTTTCTTTCTTTCCTACCGCTGATAAAGGGATTTGAAAAAACTCAACTTTGGCTTGGTAACAATGTGCATAAATTTACTGAGAAAAGAAAGCGACTCACCATTCCTCTGAAATATTTTTTTTCGCATCTTTTGAATTTCAATTACGGAATCCTACATAATACAGTTTTAAATGCAGTACAGTACCACACCTAAAAACAGAATTTCTGATGAACTTTTCGTTACGGTGAAAAATGCGGAAAAATGAGCGGTCCCCATCTATAAATTCATTTGAGCTGCTTCTGTTTTCGACCAAGAATTGATATCGAGCACTCTTATCTACAGGTGTTGATGTTGTATTTTCTTAAGTTTTCTCATTACGTTTATGTAGTAATATTGTTTGGATAGTAAAATGAGAGATAAGCTTTATTTATCCCCATAAAAGACAATCTGTTTTATCATTGTTATAAGTATTGTAAACAAAGATGCTCGTAGAAGATATGCTAAATCAAGGACAAAGCAATTATATTTTCTGATTTGCCTAAGAAAGCCAAAGGTTGTTCCAAACTGAGCGTGGGTGGCTGCAGGCCCAGGTAAGTTCTTTGCTCTTCAAAGTGCGTGGTGTGCGGGATTTGCTCGGCCTTTGGAATTGAAGGCTAAGATTTCTATCCCCTTATAGTGTTTGAAATTTTTTTTTCAGTAGGTGGCTGCTGGAAGCGATCAAATTCCATATGTCTGTCCATATGTTAAGTCGAGGATATCTTTCCTCATACACTCTAAGGTGATTTCTATCGATGAGGCAAATTTTATCTTTTCGGGTGTTCTGGATTTTAAGTTATAGACCAGATACACATGAGCCACATCGATATTCACGAATTCAAATTGATAAAGCGATTTCGAGACTAAGTATCTTAACTAGCTTCTACATCAAAGCACCTCGTTCCATTTATTTCAGCTCGAAAGTAAAGTATTAGATTGTGGAACCTTTATTTTGCTGAAGGATATCCTAAGATATACTTCGCCCGTGGCAACGGGTTTTATCACTCAATTTTTACTCTGGAATAACCACGAAACTGAAAGAAAGTAGAACTAGAAATATTTCAGCTGAAATGAAGAAGCTTTCACAATTATGTTTACGAAAGTAAAATCGTTTTTTGTCAAAAAAAGTGAACGCACGCTTTTAATGTCTTTGTTACCAATTAAAGTACACAAAACAACAGATATGCGACAAAAATAGTAATCTAAAACCTGTGAATTGCATTTCCTCAATCAAAAACACGTTCTAAAATCCATTAAAAAACCTCAATTTACGTTCTGCCTCTTTTGTTTTTCGACTGTCTCTTTCAAACTGAAACAAATTAAAACGATTGGGCCCGCGAAATCTATTACCAAATTTACATGTGCTAAAATTTATAAGAAAAGTATAACACTGTCAGGCGAATAAATATTTCTTTAAGAGCTAAATAAGCAACTTCTTGAAATGTCAAATCAGAGAGCTTGTTCCTACAGAAAAACCTAAATGGTTTATTAACACATCATATAGTTGTTGACCCATTACGACACCCGAATGATATCATCAAGCTGCGAAAATTAATAGAATCCTCGAGTGATGTTTTGGAAACAATAGTGATTAGGCAACCTAATAGTTTTCTAGCAAGTTGTGCAAATGTTCCTCTTCAAGACGTGCCAATCTCGAGTCTTAATTTAGATTTTTAATTTCTCTTTGTGTTGGCTAGTTTGTAGTAACAACAAACGATTGTTTTGAGTGAAAAGGAATTGCGCTGACGCTTTTCGGCTAGGACTAAACAAGTTTTGATGTCTCCCACAGTCATTATTATCATACTATTGGATCTGGTTTTCGTAATGGCTTGAGTTCACAGCTCAGTTAAGCTTGTGGCATCCTGTTATCGAGGAACAATAGTTAAAACTCTCTTACCGAATTCTCGAAGGTCAACAAGAAGCTGTGTCAAAAGTAAGTTTGAAACATATTAAGCACGGTGTTCGGTCAATGACATCTTTGTTTCTGTTTCATAAGTAAATGAAAGGTTTTTGCGCTCACCTAAGATTATTTGCCTCAAAATCCAAACCAAAAAACATAACGTGTTAAAGTTGTACAAAGGGAAGAACAGTTTCAGTAACACACATTTGATGCGCCTATTTTTTTTGTCCAGTTTCATTCCAGAAGTCCCTACTACCGAACAGTCTGGAGAAATGCTCCGTCACATTCTCTCGTAACTCACCAACCAGAAAACTGTTCTTGTAGCGTAGTAGAATTTTCCGAAGTGTTCGTGATATTGATCATTCCCCTTTCACTTACAAAGCGTCAAGAGGTGAACTTTTAAATGATAAGACTAAAACCGCCATACAAACTGTCTATGAGATACAAGTTGTTGTTGGAATACCACTTCTTAAACATTTACTATCAGAAAAAAAATGGAAACAATTTACGATAAATGTTAAGAGAAATTTGATGTTGTTCGTCGTGATTTTAAAGATAAACGTGTCATCGTTTGTCTCAGCTGTACTGAAGAGTCAGGCTTAGCTCGAAGATGCAAGCATTTGGGTGTTACTCTGTAAATTCGAAACTAAATAAAGTTTATGTATGTCCTTGTATCTATCAATCGTGTGTTGATCGCGACTTTTCGACTGCTACACAACTAGTCTTCGTCAGGTGACGAATGTCTATTTCTTTGAGAAGCCAAGTTTGCGTTGGATACTTGTTTGATGGAACTCTGACCACAATTGATCTACGTGAACTACTTTGCCCTAGGTAATACGCGTTAGATTGGGTTCGTTTCCATGTAGTCACTAACTTGTTCGCAGCTGGACACCCTCTTGTAGCCTTGGCATTACAGTTTGATAATCATATTGATAGTAGTAACCGTATGTATTCCATCAGTTGACTTCGCTTCTGCTTTCCACGACATGCCAGTGGAACTCACGATACGGTAGTCACACGTGCATTTAGTGCCGTTCAGCCCACAAGGCGAGAAAGTTATTATTTCTCTAATGCAGTTCTTCAGGGTTGAGTTTGGGCCTTCGGGTACTTTTTTATCGTGATTAGATGACGGATGTCCCGATTCTCCCTAGGTTCAATTTTTAAAGGGAACGGTTTATGAGATGCTTAGAATGATCAGACTACGTTAACTCATTGTGACTGGTTGATAAGCGTTCAAGTGCCGTAACATAATTACATTAGGTAAACTTTCGCAGAAAATAACCTTATTGTTTCACCCATGCATCTTCAGATTGATTGACTGAACTTGAAAGGAGAAAATTGATTCCAACATGCCTCATCTGAAAGTGAATGTGAACGGAAAGAAGTACACTATTTCTGGTATCACTCGTACAACATGCAGCAAACAGATCCTCTGCGCCTTGGCTAAAGTCGACGCAGAATTACGATCAAGACAAACGACTGAGCCAAAAGGCGACCCCCTCATGAATGCATCGGGAGCTTGTGTAGAACAAAACAGGAGGGCTAAGAAAGTTCGCGAGACGAGAAAAGAATTTAAGAGAGAAGAAAAGTGTACGAGGAGTAGGGAGACCGAGAAGAAGCAAAGAGAAGGAAGAAAACGTTCCAGTGGCAAAGTGCATATAACAAAACCAATGGAACTAACAAACAATGAAGGAATTCAAACGTCTAGTGGAATGTTCGAAGCAGTAGAGAAAAGCTCCGAGAATCAGCAAAACTGTTCACCATCGCTAAATGAACGAGAGGGTGTGAAAGAAAAAGTCGTCGAGAGCAGTTTTCGAACGGTGGAAGACTTAGACCGGAATATCAATGGACGAGACACAAGCTCTGTGGACAGCAAGGAAAATAATGTTGAGGATAGCGCCAAAGACACTGATCATGACACGGGGATAAGTGAGTTACATTCAGACAGTTCATTTGAACAAAACCAAATCTTGCACCAAAATTCCGGCGTAAATGGAAGCTCAGCGAGGAGAACTTTAAACAGTACATTACAAATTAAAGTGAAATGCGCCTCTACGAACACAGATACCATAGAATTTGCTGATTTGGCATATTCGTGCATGCTCGAAAATAGTATATCAAACTTAGAGGACGACGAGTACATCGTTGCTGAACTGATTGGCAGTGAGACCGACGTTGAAATATTCGACGAATGCACATGTACATACATTGACTCAGAGACTGAAGAACTTCAACAAGAGATCGAAAAGATTCGCGATGATTTAAAGTTAACAGAATCAAAGCTTATTGAGCAGGAGAAAACGATTGAAACGCTGAATGTCTTGATAGACGACGACGACGATGATGAATATTGCGCCAACTGTGACGTCAACGATGACGTAAATAAGCGAATTGACGAACTTAAACAGTCAATCAAATTAAGTACTCAGTTGTATGATTATCAGAAGGTCGAGACGCAAGCAAATGCGTTGGAACTAGAGAAAGTTGAATCACAAATAAGGAGAAAACGATGGCACGTAGAGTGTCTGTTGAAAGAGCTCTATATGGCTCGGAATAGCCCACTTACTGGGAATGGACAAGGGAAATCTGCTCCCTTCCCGAGAGACGGTACCCTGGTCTAACAAAATCATTTGACATAAGGTTGTTATTTTCATATTTACTTCGTTCTATTTGGAAACTTTGTTTTTGACTGGAAATATCGAAGTTTCTCCGTGATTCCCATGTGTTAGTTAGTAATGTATCTATCGGGATCCTCATGATTGATAATTTGTCAATTTTTAAATAAAGATGGCTAAATAAAAGTTGAAATTGATTTCTCCCTTTACTGCCTGTATTATTTACTAATCAAATGGAACTTAGTTTTCTTCCATTAAAGACAGTAGTGCAAAATCTATTCCGTTGGTTTCCATCCAGCTGTTGTAGTTTGCAAGGATTGGTGGGTCGTGTGAAAGGAAAGTGGCATGCCTTTTATGAGATGTGGTCATGCTTATGCTCACTTGTTGTTTGATTATCAAAGACCGGCACCACTATTCCTTAGGGTATACAAACTCGTGATTTTGTGCAACATGAATAAAGGGGTTGGGGAGAGTATAGCGGGTAATTTGGTGTTAACAACTGAGTTGAAAACATAAATTGGCCACAGTAAAGGGTAAAAAAGCTGACGTTTCGAGCGTTAGCCCTTCGTCAGAGCGATTGGCCGTTCTTGAGAAATTTTATTTCCGCCTGTGCGTGATTCTAGTGCACATATTCAGCCTTGACAAATTCAAAATGTTCGTGAAAAATCCGATTTTTCCCAGATTGAATAGAAGATGATTTGTGTATTCTAGTGTCATTTGAAATAAATTTAGAAAACGTTGCCCACTGTTACTGTTGTGTTACAAAAAAATTTCATTCCAGCGTTGAATGAATGAGTCTTTTGTGGAGCTTATTCGAATGACAATGTAAGGGATAAAACTTATTAAAAAACGAGCACGCCTTCAGGAACTTAAACACATCTTTCTCCAGTCAAACGGTTTTAATAGATCCAAGCCCTCGTGAAGGTAAAGATGTTGTTTAGCTTAAATGGTTGTGTTTTTTTTTTCAAGTGAGTTTTGGTAAACAAAAAAAATGTAATAACTGCAAGGCTAACTGATTATTCTATGGAGCATCTTCAGTTTACGCTTGAAGCTATCTTCGAGCTACTTACGCCTCTTTTAAAAATGGGTCAGTGTTTTGTTATTTAACAACACAAGCTTCTGGACTTGCTACCGTAAATGAAGCGGAAAAGGTAATCGTGCCGTAGAATTTGTGTTAAATTGTTTCTACGACCTATTAAAACGATGTTTTTCCTTTTTTCTTCTTCCTTATTTTTTAAACAGAGAAACGAGCAGCTCAACCAGCTACTAGTGAACTTCTATTCGTGGCAGAAATACAAACAGGTTTGAACAAACTTTTTTCGCTGAGATATTTATTAAAATTTTGATTGCATGATAGAGAGAATATGGATACAAAATACAGAAAAAGCTTAGCCCCTTTCTTGAAGATTTTGGTTGATGTGGCTCAAGATTTATTTTGTCATTGTTAGTACAAAAAATGGGCTAAATTATTTAAGCGTTGAGATGTGTCAGGGTAAAAAGAACGTACTTGAAATTTGAATACTTAACAAAAGATACGATGCCTCGTGCTTTGTTGAGACAAATAGTGCAGTTATCGAAAGTTGTTTTAACAAAGACATTCCTTAAAAAATCCTTCGTTTCTCGGAAACTGTGCTCGCTTATTACAAAGAGCTTTGTTAGCAAAAATCAGCTCTTTGAACAAATATTTATATAATTGCGAAATATATTTTTCTTTGACAGAAAATAGCGAGAACGCGCGTGACTGAAGATTTCATATTAATACTTGGAATTCAAAAATCTCTCTTAAGTTAGACTTGCTTGGGTTTTGCAAAAGAAAACTGAAAGTCATAAGTCGGGTGTTTGGTTTTGCGTATGTTTGACTTATTAAAAGCCGGCTGTTCATATCGTGGGCTACAGTTGTTTTCCTTAATTAAAAAGGAAATTCTCAAGAGGTCTGAGAACTACACGAGTAAATATAGCAAGGCTTCAGAGAATTAATAGTCCATATTAGAAGGCTTGAAGGCTGTTAAAAACGTCTGGTGTGTACCGAAAGTGGAAACGTCGTGCTTCTTTTAATCTTAGAATTTCGGCGGAGGTGAAAGCTCGAACCACAAGCTGCTTTGATGCGAGACTGAAATATGTGTTGTGTTGCCACTAAACTCAAGTTCTTTAGTAATGTGCAAAATAAGGGCACTTTTTGATTTCGTCGAAGGAGTTTTCAGTAAACAAATGCATCAACGAGGAGCGACTCTTAATGAGTGTCTCAGTAGTTTATTTCACTCTTGCATCATCTTGCCTGTTGCATAAATGTAGAAGCTTTGCGTGCTCTAAAGACTTTGAGCTACAACGATGAATGTCGCAATTTCAACCTCAAAAATCGTGAATCAACTGATTTGTAACTGTTGATTTTAGAGAAAGAGAATTATAAAACAAAGGATAACGTAGTGGACGGACTACCAGAAAAAAGTGTGAGAAAGTAGAACAAGAAGGATGGAGGGTGTTTAGTCTAAAAGCTTTGTCTGCAAAGACAAGCTATGCACAACCTCGACGGTAAACTGCAATCATACTTACGAGATAAACAGTAAGATTCTTCGGTTATAATCTCTATGAAATGGGGTACTTGTAGCGTGCTGATAATGATTAGGATTGAGGCAGCTTTTGCGATTGAAGCATTGCGTTTTTTAAATGTCTTGTATTTTCCAATATTTCAAATGTATGTTTTTTTACCCATTAAGTTAGCATTTACACAGGCCTAATTTGAAGGATGAAGATAATATATTCAAGTGCAAGCGGTCATTCCATTTCAGCAAGCTCTAGGTTGTAATTCTTCGTTCCTTCATCGTTTTGGAATAACTGGATTTTTTTCGTCTGATTGTAGATAATCGTTAACACTTTGCTCACAATCAAGATATATTAATACTACCCTTTTATTGACAATAAAACACATAAAACACATTTCGTCGGCTTGAAAGTGTTTTCATCTAGCATTAATGCAGGGTATTAATTACATCACAGATAAGTCCCACGGCACAACATGATTCACTTATTTACAAGCCTTAATCTACCTTAATTTATCATTTTGCATCGTTAAGTAGATTTTACATCAAACCTACAAATGTTTTATCTATCAGTGATCTTGAATAAAAAAAGAAATGTTTTTTTTTTCCTCTGGCATGTGATGCAATGAAAAGTCCGGCAGTTAAACATATCACAATATTGAAACTGACATTTATTTTTCTTAACAAAACTCAGTTAAGCCTGAGATATTTTATCGATGGACGTAATTCGACGCATTTCTGTCGATCGATTAACAAATGTTTGGAGCCAGCGATCTAGAGATTTCATTATTGTATTGGTAATTTACTCAGCAACAAAGGAGATCTTTTGCTGCTTTTATAGAAAATTTTTAGTAACGAGCAAACAGAAATCTGCATACGCTGGATGGGATTATCCGCTTAAAGGCTAAACCGAAAAATTATCAGCACACAAAATGTTAAAGTTGCAATAATTCGTTGCAGGTTTCTCGTTCAAAATTTTGGTAGTAAACGTTTTAGTTCTAATAATTGGTTAAATACAAGTCGGAACCGACCAATTTTCCTAACTGTCTTAGTGCAAACCAATTTTGATTGCTTTCTTTTATCGACTTTTTTAAGCCACACAATTTACGAAAAGGTCACACTCGGATAAGTTTAAGGGGGTTGTGATACTCTTTGAAATTTGTATTCCTTCAAATTTTCACGACCCAACTAAGAGTTCCATGTTTGTGGCTATTTTCGCATTTTCCTGATCTTACCGTGTTTGCTCCGCACGAAGGCTGTAAGAAAAACTTTGGAGTTCAGTCTGATGCACATTTTCACACTTGAGTCCTTTCAATATCGCCTCGCGCACGTCTTTCCGTAGCAGTCCATAAAGTAACGGGTTGAACAGGGCAGTTCCGCACGCTGACGCTTCTGCTACCTGCAAAGCCAGCGTCAAGCCGCTTGTTTTTTTCTCGTCAGCTGTGTGAAGCTCATATATCGACAAACAAAAGTAGGGCAACCAAGTCACCATGAACGTACCGACAAGTAGAGCAATGATTTTAACTGTCTTGAGCTTTTTTATGAACGATCGGTTCGAGCTTCTTGTGCCGCTTTGCCCGTTTGGGTTCGATGCATTGATTTGTCTCGCATGCTGCCGTGCTACGTAGTAAATTTTTATGTTTACCAGCAAGATACACAAACATGGTAGACCGAACACCAGGGCGAATCGCAGGACTTCGTAAAGTTTTGGAGTTCTACCATTTTCGTCTTTAAAAGCAAAGATGAGGAGGGCCTGGAATATCGATACCAGCCATATGGCAGCAATGATGACTGTGGCGCGAAAACGATTCAGGAACGCGTCGTACCTAAACGGGTATGAAATGGACATGAAGCGTTCCAGCGTAACGCCGGCCAGGTTGAGAAGTGACGCAGCGCCTAATAACGGAAACAACGTGTCCTTAGCTGTGGAGGCGTTTTGACCGGGGTAATACTGGCACCAGATATTCAACGGAACAAGGACACTGGCCATGAAGAAGTCGGCCATAGCCAGAGATAAGACAAATGCGTTTGTAATCGTCCACAGTCTACGAACGCGGCAAATTGTACCAATTACACACAAGTTGACAATCAAACCGAATACTGCAACTAGTACAAAGTACGTAATGAGAACAGGTAGATTATATGGCAACACGTTCGTCGTCCTTGCCTTCGGCGGGCTGGTACTTGCCTTATCCAAGAGGTTTAAACAAAGGGAAAAATTACCCAAAAGACAGGGTAACACTTTATTGGAGTTATTGAGCTCTCTTAGTGCTGTGAAGTTGAATTGAGCATGGATATCTGGACATTTTCGAAGCAGTTCTTCGACCGAGTCGATATCAGAAGCCATTTTCACCTAATGAGTCAAGAGGAAAGAAAACACAACACCTTTAGGCTGTAAATTTTACGCAGACTACATCCAAAATTTGGCAACCAGATTTTTTCACTTTGCCCTTACCTGTTGAGTCATTGTCCAAAAATTAAATTCCGCTTGGGATCAGAAACTACTTGAAACGAGTGGCTTTGCTCGTACTCGCTCCTTGCTTATTCAAAGCTAAAAATCAACAATTCAAGACTAAAATTAATTCTTCTCGAATACGCCGCTGAAACCAGGGTAACCGCCAGGCCGTAGGCATAAAGTCTGTTGAATTATTTGCCCACCTAAGTGACATGGAAATAGTGGGCAGGTGTAAGGGGAATCCTTCATCATTCTATTGGTTCAAAACACAATTGATTGAAATCAAGTTCTTCCAAAGCCAACATCAATCTGTCAGACACGGAAATTTTCTCATTTTTGTGTGGATATAGTTCTGAAATAGGCCAAAGAATATAATTGCTGATAATTTATCCCTGTTTTCCTGTTTTCGCTTATTTAATTTGTTTTACGAAAATGAGTTGAGCATCATGCAATGATTATGTGCGACACACATTCTCTCTCTCTTTCTCTCTCTTTCTCAGTTTTAACGTAGGCTTGACCTCATTCTTTTCTTACTCAACCACTCAGTGACCAACTGTTTAAAATGGCCAATATGTCCTTTTTTTTTGTTATTTAGATTTTACAGTACAAATGACGATATGGCTTCTTAAGCGACATTAAAGAAGTACATCACAGTTTTCATCCAACTAACAAAAGATATTAAGAATTTTTCAAAATATCGACACCGTTAAGTCGAGCCAAGTCAAACAAATGAAAACGGCTATACGCTTTGTATTTGGGCCATTAAGTTATGCTAAAAATTAGACCGAGAGAGCAAAAAAAAAATAATAATAAAATTGTGAAAGGTGCCACAAAGTAGGGCGTTAATTTTTCCCGAGGATATTTTCCACTGCCCACTCATTTCCTAATTGCTTAGTAATCTTAAATAAGCTTTATGATGATGCAAACCCCTACAATAAGGGCTTAATGGCGTGAAAAATGCTATATTAGTAGAAAATAATCACAAAAATCGTGCGAAGATGTTTGAGGATGAACGAGACACAAATTTCAAATGATGATCTAGAACTTTTTAACGCCTAACTCGAGGTGCATCAACCGTCAGCGATATATAACTCCCTATGATGATCAAAAGAATCAAAATTGTTAGTTGTTGTTAACTGAGTTTCAAGAAACACAAATGTTAAAAATATAGTGAGGTTCTATAGAACTGCATCTTATTAGAGCTCGAAAGCTCTACAGTGTGAGATTAAATTAACTTTAAGTACCAGACAGCTGTCCTTGTCTTAACGAATAGATAGGCATTTTTCCGTTGTAAGTATATTGATTTCTTTTTACTCAATTAAAAGACGAGAACTCTTGGTAAAAAAAAAAAACTCAAAAGGAATACAACAGTTTTCTTAACATTACACTAAAAAAGCCCAGGTTCCGTGAGAGCAGAGCCAGTGTTATGTAGCTCGTGCTGTTCGAACTCCCTCATTTCTTTTTGCTAAATCATTCTCTTAGACTGGAAATCAGCAAGTATTAGTTAAAATTTGTAGTGGCCCGGACGTTACTCTAAAGATTTTTTCAGAACTAATGGATCGGCCAAGAAACACGCGCAACAATAATTACGGATTATTCCTGAAAGACTATTTGCATTACTAGGTTTTATTAATATTTGAGCGTGAAATGAGTTTTTTTCGAGGACCGGACACAGGAAAGTCACAGCACAGTTTACGCTGCCTACCTTCTTCCTTTGTTAGTGCTCCAAATTCCTTGATCCAACCGACAAAAAGATCTTCAGGGGAATGAAAAGCCAGGACTGTTGCACATTCAAAGAGATCACATGTGTTATCGGAATAATGTATGATTTCATTAGTTTCTTTATTTGCAAAGAAAGTCTGATCTTATCATTAAACTGGATTTGGGCAAATTGAGCAATAAGAAAATAAAGACCTGTGGTAAATGTATGTCACGAGTTCGTTTTGGAATGAAACATTCTGATCGGTAAAACTGTGTCAACTGTCAAGAATAACGTTCCATCTGCGACAATTTCCTATTGATATAATTTTCTTAGGCATGAACAGATATTGAAAGTAAGCGAGTGTAATAGTTTTTTTTTCAATGGATAACACAAGTCATTATTGCCTAGGTGAAACAGAAATCAATTAATCCTGATCTCAGTTACGGAAGCTTTTAACAAAAACTAACTTTGCCGAAATAACACTAATGAGAACCTTGGCGTTGGTAACAGGACAATAATTTAGCTTGCAGGCAATTCAAGAGTATTGAGTGTTTTTTTTAAAGATCATTTGCATGTGAAAAGGAATAATATTTCGCCTTTTGTAAAAGCCGAGGCTTGTCACCTTTGAGAGTAAATTACAGGCAAGACGAGGCCAAAGTATGAACAGCGTTATTTAAGATCCTAAAAAAAAATAGCTTGGTCTTTTTCCTCAAGAAAATGAAAAAAGAATGAGAAACTAACCAGCTGGAGTGCAATATCAATTCTTTATCTGACTTCCATGCCGAGTTTCAGTCACTGGATGAGGAAATGTAATCCTTTATTAACGGGAATCTGCTATCAAATGACTATGTAAAATATTAGCATTAGGAGCGGAAGTTTAATTTAAGAGCCTCTTTCCTTATGAAAAGATCCTTATCAGTGCCTATTAGCAACCCAAATGCATTTAAATAAATCAACATTTGACAAACAAGTGTTATTCAAAACTTCGCAAACAAGCTTAGTCGAGCAATTCCTTATTTTTATAATACTTTTTCAATATTATGCAGGACTATTACGATGCAAATGAAATTCTCTCAGTTAAATCTTCCCATAGTTTTGATTATCTCACTCTATGATTTGAGAATTTATTATAAAGAACCTAGAATAAAGGTCCCTAGATCAAATGATCAAAGTGTGAATGATTTACTTACGAACGTGATATTTATTCATGGCAAATAAAAACTTTCTTGTCCTAACTCCCTCTATTCCTATCTTTGCGCGGAACAAAGCTCCTAATTCATTGCACATAACATTCGATAAATTACTCGGTGGGTCTTAGTCAATTAATTTTTGGCATCTTTGACATTAATATTAGCAAGTTGTTTAAACACCGTTCGCCATGCTTTTGCAAATTATCATAATTATTTCCTCGACTTTGTTTTCATCTTTGTTCAATCATTTACCCAGTTCTTTTTGTATAAATGTGGATTAACTAAAATTTTTATCTCTCATTGGTGCAATTAACTGTCTCAATGAGATGATTGATAGCTGGCTGACATCACGTACATTGTTTCTAATCAACAGTTATATGCACGTTTGCCGATAGCTTTTCTTCTTCCTAAAATTCTTATTTATTTGACGAAGATCTGCTCAAAAGCCGTCGATGTACTACGGGTGTAATATGAGTAACACACAAACCATAATAACCGGCTGTAACGTGTATGAAAAAGTACCATTTTTCTTTTTTTTTCTCTGAGTTTTTTTTAATCAAAATCATTGAAATTTCTATGTATCGACCGAAACTGTGAAACTCATGACGCTGCCAATACTCCAGTTGATATGTGAGGTATACATCACAAATAGGATAAGGGGTCTCCTTTATTCTGAACGTCATAACTGGAAGTTTTCGCTGACACCTAAAAACCGTACACATACAGTGATGTCATAAGAAGAGAACGGACAATCTGCCGATTTGAAAAAGTGGTCAACTGTGAGTGTGAACGAAATATAAGGAACAGATTTTTGAAAAAAGTAAGTTGTGCGTTTCCCGCAGCGTTTAAGACTGCCCTCTGTTGCGACAGCAAGACACGGGAAGTTCCCTCAGGAAAGTCCTGAACGTGCAGCGGCGATCTTGATAGGTTTGCTCATTATTTTATTAAGCGGGAATTCGCAAAAGAAAATTTATCATCAAGCTAGCTTCTCCCAACGCAGACCTGCTTGAGTATGTCTTGAGCGCTTACATAACTTTCACTTGTAACATTGAGTGCTTACAATACCTTTTACTGGTAACATTACAAATAAAAGAAGGAGTTGAAAGTTAACATCAGTCAGGGCTGCAGTAGAAAAGAACTCAAAATATAAAGAAGAAGAAACATTGCAGTTACTTATGAAAATTGTGATATACAATACATTCCTCATGAGATGTTTTACTTGAGGAGACTAATCGGTGAAAGACATAACATCTTCTCTTGGTTTAAGTCGGCTGTCAGCCAATGAAAATACAAGACAGCATTATCTTTGCATATTTTATGAGTAACGCATTCATTGTTTTTAGCGAATATCTTATTAACATCAAGACAACGATTTTAAAGAAAAGGTATAACAGAAACACTTTCTTTGTTTTCGAAAAGGAAGAAAAGCAAAACAAGAACCTTAACTGGGATTGCATGCAAACTAACAAACTAACAATAACTATTCTCTGCAGGTTACAGAATTGTCCAGACTGCAGAAGACGTTTTAATTTGTTAGTTATGGTTTATTTCACGCAAAAAAGACACACTTTTTCGGTTTTCTTGACCTCAGATGTTTTCGTGCTGAAAGTATTAGACAGGTGCCATTGACGTATATGATAGGAATTTTCGTAGAACATTAAAAAGGAATATAAACGAACGACGATTTCTTCGGAATTCAGAGCATCAATTATATTTAGATATGCGGTATGTTTTTAAATGAACGGTGGTTTTGTTGAAAATAGCTGAGTGGGGGATTGATTGTTCTCTAACTCAAGCCATAAATTGACGGTTTTAGGGAAAACATCCCTTTACACACTAGGTTTTTGTAAACAACGTCCGATGGTTGAAGGAATTTTGTCGTTTTGCTGAGGAAATGCCTTTCTTTCTGATGAGAATGCGGTCTTGAACATTTGCCTAGTTGAGGGGTGCGATGGAATCTGTGACCTGAACGGTCTACTGAATTGTTCACAGGTAAAATACGATTTGTTTTTCTTTATTGTCACCTCCATAATATACTTGGTACTTAAATCATACTGGATGATAGAATGTAGAACCATTTTATTCAAGGGGACGGCAACTGTTAGGAGAGTTTACCTGTCCACTGAAGCTGAAGCGTTTCTTTATTCAAATATCGCAAGAAAGAATCTAAATGAAAAGAAAAACCAACTTACGAAAACACCGTAATTCCGCATGATTAAGTATAATCTCATCAGACTGTAGCAAATAGAACTAAACCATGCTCGCGTAATAAAAATGTAACTGATCCACTTCATTTCTTTTTCTTTACATGAGTATAATTCAATAATATTGAGCCGTCCCTTTAGCAAGTTCGTTACAGACGAAGTTATGTCGCTGATAAAGATTCAGTCATAACATACCGCAGATAACGTTTCTTGTTTTTGTTTCGCTGATATTCATATGGAGATGTCCATGATTTCAGCACCCTGAGACATTTCTCCCTGTTCGACTCTGTGGTCATACATTTAGCATAATCTGAAAGCAGTGGACGAACCCAACATATGTGCGGTTAAATAATTACAAGTGTTACAAAAATTGATACCTAGATTTTAATTATTTTTCTACATGAATGATTTATTTTTCCACAAATCTTGAACTAAATCTGACTTACTCTAGACAAATAGCACATGTCATATTTTTGCCGGGTAAAGTTTTTGCTTTCCAGTAACCCAACTTTCCAGGTGAACGTAAATTCTTGATCTCCAAAACCTAGAAATTTATCGTCTGTTTTGAATTATAGTAGTTACATCAAACCTTTCAATTGTTTTTTTTTTCCTTCCAAATAAGAGGGAGTGGTTAGATTAACTGTTCCCACTGCCACACAGAGTTTCAACATTATAATGGATTTCTTTCAAAAGCGATAAAAAAGGGAGATAGTGAAAATCAGATATACTAGTAAGAGTCCAGAAGAAAAACAAATTTAAAAACTCCCTTAATTGAGGGCTGGTAAGAAGAAACCAATTATTTCTGGTATTTTTAGAAACAATTTCTGTATTTCTAGCAATATAGATATCAGTTCCATTTGTATGAAGCCGAGTGTGTTTCTAAAAGTTCTCCGTTCTTACATGTTGCACCAGTACGATGAGTTAATTCGATCTTAGCAACTATAGGTAGGAGGTATTGTTGTTTTTCATGATTTAACGTATTGTCTACCTATAAAAAGCTCGTCAGCATGAAAAAATGAGGTTAGTAGGATATAAAGTTATCGTTAAGTGTGATTTTCAAACTAGTGTCGCTCAGCAGAGGGACTTGTCCTCAAATCATGAAACACGGGTTTCGTCGAACGTTTTTCAGTACACAACAGGGATGAGAATGCAAACTGTCATCCGCTTAACGTAGGTTGATCTGATTGCATGAAAACATCTCAAGGAAACATGACAAAAGAGAGACAGTGGCCCATGAAATGTTGATATGGCTCATCAAGTTCTGATATAAGACACTTCAATCCCAGGATCTTCGCGGAACCAGACAGAATTTATTGGTGGGAGGGGTGGAAAATGACACGTGATGAACTTTGTTTTGCCCTGGGAGACCAACAAATTAAGTTGCCAAGCAATCTGTCATGCTATACTGGTGATTCAGGGAAGCTCGTAAAAACGTAGTTTCTATGAAGATACTTCAGCAATATCTTTTCATCAGACATGCGCGACTTAAAACCTTCTCTAGCAAAATAAAACTCTTATCGCCTGCCTGAGGTGCAAATAGAGAACTGAGATTCTGATAGCTCGCTTTTCGTAATGTCGAATTGCAATTTGGCGAACGAGTGTCTCTAAAGTAACGCATCGCGTGCATAAACCTCTAAGATATTATACTACTGAGTTTTTTTAACAGATGGTAACATTCTTGTCTGTGCGTTTGTGTTTAGAACTTCCTTGAAGACAACGGTTGGCTTTAAGAATCAGATTCATTCAAAGCAATAGATTTTTTGACGTTCTTGTCATTGTTAGGACATAGCTTTAGACAGTTTCGTGATCTTAAAAACGTATTCAGGGTGTACAGCTCAGTTAATAAGTTGTGAACCGCAGTTTTTTACTTCCAACTCTGCACAAGCCCATCAGAGTAGAAAACGACTAAAGTTGATTATTCTGTTTTGGTTATAACGCATCAGATTCTATGATATCCGTCTGGAAAAGGCCTTTGGGTGAGTAGAAAGATGCCAAATGAAATATAGAACTGTTTTGCAATCAATTTTTTCTATTTGGACTCTCGCAAAATCAGCGTTACGTCAGGTTTGAGCCTCAGCATGAAAAAAATTGTGATTTTGCGCCCAGTTTAAGCTAATGGAGCATAAATTTTCTCTGCACTTTTAAAAATCTAAAGCTGGGTTATCATCTCACATGGGCCTGATAAGAGTAATTAGGAAAATAGCACAAACATACAGACATCACGCACTGAGGTAAAAACACAACACTGAGTTTGATCGGTGCGTCGGCTTCACATGTCAGACAAAGATATTATAATCTTTCGGTATTTCTTAAGACCTGCCGAAATTAGCCCCCCTCCCCCTTCAATCATTTTTTTAATTATAATTTTATGAAAGCAACTGGTAATTAGGGGTTTATGGAAAGAAAATATAAATTATTTTCCTTGCACCTGTAGAAAATGATATTAGCTGTAGCCCTCAAGCGCCGACACGTTTATAGCAACAGAAAACTTGTACTACTTATGGATGAGGTTGTCCGATGAATTATTGACGAATCTCTACTTGCTAATTTCAGACAAGAAACTGCATAAAATTGAGACAAATACAACGATGTTTTAAGAACGCTCCTCTCGTATCGTTTTTGATTCATTAAATTCAACAATTGCCTCTTGTATAAAACACACTACCTTCTGTTTTCATCTGCCATACCTTTCTAAGATGATCTTTCCTTAGCTCTTAACTCGATCCACCAATTTGGTTCATCTACTTGTTATGTATTCAATGTAAATTTGAATTCTTCGATTCATAAGCCTCAAATGAAGACTGAGCACTTGAAACTGAATCTTTCCTCGTAATTTGGTGGCTGATCTATCTGAGGCAACTAATGGTTTCACTCAAAAAGAAACGACGTGCTTTCTGCGATGTTTGTTTCCCGCAAACTAGGTCCTGATGAAAAGGGCTTTTTATCACTCAGTGTAGGCGTATACCCGTCTCTTGTTTCCATTTGATAATCATAATTAAATGTGACGTAATAGTTATTTTACACGTCAATCAGATTATCAAGTTCTAAGAGAACCATAAATTCGTCTAGCCTTTTCTTTTAGTCTTTGTTGGGGAATAAAAAACCAATTGACTTTAGGAAAGAACTTTCTCGCTTTTCCATCTTTTTCTCGATGGAGTTGTTTTCATTTTGGCCTCAGATTGCAAATAGAAAAGAGACATAAGATGGTGGATTGCAAGATTCAATGTCTTTCGTTTGCGTCCTTTATCTCCCACGTGTATAGTACTTGAAAGAAGATTTTCTAAGCCGTATTAGGATTTAAAGAGTCGCCACTAACCGGTTAAAATGCAAGCAAACGATATCCTCGAGCGCAGAGCAGGTGAGATTGTGAGCCGTCTTTGCCTTCAGCTCAGTCACGTTCTTAACACAAGATAAATTAATTATTCAGAAAAAAAATCGATGGCTTTAAACCACAAGAATAAAATATAATCATTTATATTCCTAATGAAGTATACAGACCAAGTTTCTTATCTAAAAAAGCTATTTTTTTTTAGTTTTAAAAGGTCCTAGTATAGAGTTACTATGATTTTTTCTTACAAAGTGTTGATAAATGACAACATATCTACAATACACAAGAAAATGAAAATACGTGACAATGTATGCAACGATGAATGAAATACTCCAGCACTTTGTTTTGAGCTTAACTATGATCAATTGTGTACAAAGAAAAATATTATATTGAAATTGTCAACTTTATAAGCTTGCAATCTCGCCTTTTTTTGAGTACAGGTGATAAATTGCACTATTGTCATTATTTTAGTTATTGATTAGCTTGACCTTATATAGAATGTAAGTGTCACTGTGGTTGCAACTGTGTCATAAAACGTCTGGAAATTTCCACCAATGAACCTTAAAAGGATTTTAAGTTATAGACAACCGTTTGTTTTTCTTCCATTAATTCTTGTGTAAAACGCTGGACACTGTCAATATCAAGCGTTCCCCTGTGGACTTAACGCCGAGTTGAGTTTCCTTATTAGCCTACTGTTGATTCCGCAATGGCTGAGAAACGACGTAAAAGGTACTACTTTGCAGGTGTTCCGATTTTACTGTAAGAGCACTGATTCAGTCGTTGCACGTGTGTTAGTGAACACGGCAGATTGTTTACATCGGTGGTTGAACTCTGGACCAAGTAGTTCGGGTTCGACTTCTGTTGATAGTAACTCTGTTCTTATCCCGTAAAAGACAGTTAACTCTCACAGTGCGGTGTCTTCCGATTGCTATCAGTGAGGTAGACAGGTGTTTGTAGAAATGTGAAACCACTGGAAATGGGGAATGTATCCTGAAAAAAATTTTGGTAATTAAAGGACAAATTTGAAGTAATTCTAGTTGTTGCATTGTATACTTTAGGAAGGCGTGAGCTTTGTGAATCAGGACTCAAACGATGTCGAGTGAAATACAGTGCATGACCATTGCTTTCATTTGATTGGATTGGTTTTGTATTTCATGTGGACTTAACGGGTTTAAAAGCAATTTTTCATCGAGATAAATCATCCTGATGATAGATGAAATTTTTCATTGCAAGTCATTTGGAATAAACAGGCTTCACACGCGAATCGCCGATCATTAAATGAAAATTACCTAGAACATTCTAGAGTTGATGGTTGAGTTAAAATGACTGCGTTAAACTACTCTATGTTAAAATTACTTTGATGGTTCAAGAACATACGTAAGAATAACATGATATAAATGAATGCCAACTAAAAAACTCGAAACGAAGATTCGTTGCTGAGCTAAGTAACGAAAGCTTTTTCACAAAGTTATGCAAATTAGACAGAACTGACAACTTTTTAAAACTGACCAGACACAAATTGACAAGAATCCTATTAGTTTGTTTGACAGGCCATATGGTAAAAACACAATGCTCGGCTGCATACGCGTGTCATAACTCCTTAATTGCCATCCTTCGCAAATCAATATCGCGAAGTATTAAATTATGCACATTTTAGTGCGTGCGTTAAGACGACAATTTTTTAGAGGTGTGTTTAATACTTAATATTCTACTTTCGGGCTTGCTAATGATGATTTGGACGTTTTCGAACGCCTTGGGCTAACATTAGAGAAACTGCTTTATTAAAATTCGTTGGGATTTTCTGTCATTTTGAAAACGATTCTTAACGCCATTGTGAGTCGTAAGAGCTTGGTTTGTAGATTCGAACCGGTCTTCACTCCTCGTCCTGCTTTATTGCTTCATAATTCATCGCTCGGCAAACAGAGTTCTTAAACAAAACAATGCTGAAACCCATAATGAAGCCAATATACAAGAAACTGGTATTTTGACAGCTTCAATCAATATCTCTGGCAATCCTTTCCTTTATTTCCTGTTGCATCATAAGATAATAAGATATTGTTTACCTCGGACCTAATGTGCGAGTGCTTCACAAAACCTTTTTGAAAGCCCCAGAGCGCTCTTTATTAATATATTTGTTCGACCGAATATGAATTTCTTTTTTCGACGTTTCATTGTGTATAGTGGAATAAAGCTCTGAACTTTCTCTCTTCAACTACTATTGACTAACAAAAAGGCATAAAATTTGGTAAATTTTGACAGCTGGAACACCTGTTAGGGTGATGAGTATTTTGACGCAAATAATGTGTTCCTAAAAAATAATTTATACAGTTACGCTTTTGAAAAAGAAACAAAAAAGTCGATGACATTTCTTACTTTCAACCAGAAGTTCAAGTTGGCCGGTAAGGAAAAGCTATAAAAATAATAATTAACAGTGAAACATCCTGTCCCATTTTGTTCAAATCGTTTATTTTACCTTCTATTAACAAATAGTTTTTGCGTAGTAGCACCCCGTGAGGTTATACATGTTCCTGAATTTATTTACAAAAAAGGTTAAATTGTCTCATGCTAAGTCGCTCACGCAAGTCCCAAGCGCCAAACAAAGCGCTTTGTTGCTAAGTTTTGTTGTAACCGAAATGTTTTCCGTTCAAATTATTGGGTTCTGTGAATTAGGAAATAAAAGCGGGTTATAGTAAAAGAATTGTTTGGGTTTTATGAGGTGAATTTAGCGGACTAACATGACTTACCCGAGTTCAATTATTGATGTTTCTGATTCTGAACTGTGGGATTTCCAAGACGGAATTAACGGTAAATGTGGCCGCGCAGCTCACACATGTGAAATTATCTTTCATGCAAATATGACAAGAAAGTAGGTTCTTCAACTATATACCCTGAGGCGAATACAGACTTTGTGATTAAGCATAGCTTAAGCTGTTTGACTCACATGTTTTCTTTATCTATTTACAGCCGTTTACGCATCAGGCGCCGCTCTACCCGCGTATCAACTCGACGCACGATGATACGAAAGGCAATAAATGGGGACAGCAGCTCGGTGTGGTCATTGGACAGCCAGCCACTACGACCACGCAAAAGAATATTGTTAAACGTCGGAGGACGATTATTTGAAACGTGGCAAGATAACCTGGACAATTATCCGGACACACTTCTAGGGAGTCCAGAAAAGGAACTATTTTATGATCGCGGTACCAAGATGTATGTATTTGACAGAGATCCGGAAATGTTTCGGCACATTCTCAATTATTACAGGTATTACTTTCTTTTTTTTTTATATACTATTGTTAATTTATAGAGAATAAAGGTTTGCAAATGTACCTTGCCCCGCACAATTATATTTCAATCCCAGTAATATTTAGGCTTCATGTGGATAAATTTTTCCTAACCAAAAGTAAGCCACAAGTTTCATGCTAATGATTCCATATGGCAAGTCCTCCAGATCAATACAGCTTTATAACGCGAAAAAAATTATATTGGTTTCAGTTTCAATTGTTTTCCATTTTTTAACTGAGCACAAGACGCCACAAAAGAAGGCTACCTTCTTTTGTAGCGTCTGCGGTGCTCAGTTTGCCGTCAACTCGAGAGATTCTTTTTTTCTTTTTGAAAAGCGCGGATCTATAAGACCACAATTAGCCACAATTTTTAGGGTCTGTGGTTTCAGAAATTTCCTGCGATACTTAACATACAGTGTTAAAAATTTGTATTTGCATTTAAAAATGGAATTTTAAAGGCTTGAAGCCCATAATTTGTCATCATTTTACGAGTCGGTTTTCCTCAGAAAACGAAAACATTACTTAACAATGGCACACCAGGGAATTTCAACATATATCATCTGATATTCTGACAAAGAATATCATATAGCCTTAATAAGAATCCGAAAAAAAATATTTTTCGCGTTGGAACTGAAACAATAAATAAGCTCTGAACTAAGCTTAGTTAAAAATCAATTAGTACCTGGTGGTGATGGGGACGGAAACTAAACTAAAAACAAAAACCGCACGACAACCACATTTTCAATTTGCTAGAAGATGTTTTTTATTGTTTACACTAAAATACTTATTATCCCTCTTTTCCTTTCACGATGTTGGTTCAATCACTTTTCTGAAGAAGATTTTATGGCATCTCTTCGGCTCTTCTTCGGAACTTTACTTGAGTCCGACAGGAACTCTATCAGTAGTTAACTTTCTTACTTCCAGGACTGATCTGAAAGCGAAATCTCCTAACAGGTGAACGTATTTCTCTCCGTTGGATGTTCGAGAGAATTTGAAAAAGGGCATGACAATATAAAATTAAGTATTAAAATGAACTATCAATCGCTCCCAGGAGTTTAAGAATTAAATGAAAACAAAAGGCAATTATAAACCTTTTTGAAACGCACACAAGTAACATGGCGAAACTTTGAATAGATGTGAATTTAGATTTCCAAAAGTGCAATGATTCTCGTGTGAATTGTTGCCAGCTTGTTCATTTATTATTCATTTTATCATTACCTCATTTAAATAAATGAATGTTAAATCGTTTGTCTCAAGATCCAGAATCACTACCAATTGTCCAGTTAAGCTAGTAATGAGGATTGCAACTTTTCGTCGTAGCCAGGCAATGAGAATGAACGATTATGACTTCGCTGCTATTGACTCACCCTTATGGTAGATTTCCACGCTCTTTTATTTTCGAGAGCTTGATGTTGATCCTCTTAGGCCGATCTATTGCTGACTCTAAATCGTGAGATAAACGATTTGAATATATATATTAATTATCTAAAAAACGATGTACAAACATGATTTTACAACTTACGCAGGCTTTAAGCTTTTAAAAGCCAAATTATCTCGAGATACCCATCCCAATCACCGACACAGCTTTACAGTTTCTTAAGAAACTAACCCTCTTTACTAATCAGAAACAAGTGCAATTGACAGTAATCCTCCTCATCCTCATTTTGTCGGTTCGCAGGAAACTTACGATAACAATCGTTTCTCTCCAGACTCGGTAGGTTACACTATTCAAGTGACTACTGTGCAGACGAGTTTCGTGATGAGCTTTCTTTCTTTCGTATCTCTATAAACGCCGTATCTAATTGTTGTTGGGACGATTACAGGCAGCCAAGAAAAATACGAATCGACAAAGTGTTTAAGTTAGAGGATCCACACGAAAAACTAGAAGTTGAGAGAGGATGTAAACTGAAAAAAAAGGTCTGGAACATTTGTGACAATCCACACGAGTCGGTTCTTGGTAGATCGTGGTACTATTTCTCTGGACTGCTGATTGCTTTAAGTATTGTTTGTACTGTTGCTGAGACTATACCACCTCCTTGTGACGAGAAATATCTTTGTCAGAACTACACTTGTGGGAAGGAAAATTGGAATTTGTCAGCCATAAAGTATGGAAATGTTAAGTCCTGTGAAAAAATCGATAATTACTTGAAGGAAAGAGAATTATTGTATTTTTCATTGGAAAGTGTGTGTGTAGCAGTGTTTTCTTTTGAGTATTTGACGCGGTTTATTACAGCACCAAACCGCTGGCAATACGTAAAGGAGTTTATGAGTGTGATAGACTTGCTTTCAATATTACCATATTACGTTGGGCTGATATTGGATTACGCGCTGGAAACATCAGTGGACAGTCTTAGCGCCTTGGTTTTGCTGCGAGTGCTTCGTGTCTTCCGTGTTCTGAAATTCACTCGACACTCCAGCCGACTACGAAGTTTGTTATTTGCAATCAGACGCTCTGCTTCTGAATTGGGTTTCATCCTATTCAGCTTCTCTCTCGGAGTAACTCTGTTTTCCAGTGTCTTATTTTACGCGGAAAAGCTCGCGGACCTCAAACCGAACAGAACAAATCTGTTTGACAGCATTCCAGCCTCTATGTGGTATTCGGTCGTCACCATGACAACAACTGGGTAGGTTATGTAAAAGGGTGCTGCCCTATCATCAAATCCAGCTATTTCTTTAGGTAGAGAAATTTGTTGAAGTATGCAGTTTGAAAATCAAAGATAGCAATTCGTAGAAAGGTATTTGTATAGGTAACAAGATGATTTCGAGTACAATTTGGTGATAGTAAGCACGAGTAAATTTTTCATAGCCAAAATTTGTGGTCTTTGAAAAATTTACAAGTTGATTTAATGATTCACTTTAAAAAAGCATAAGAGAAAGTCAAGACAGACGAAACTTTGAAAGCGCGTGTACTCGTGATACAACTCTGCACTTGTGTTACAACTTTGCATTCATGTCACATGAATAATGCACTCGTTTTCAGCCAATCAGACGTGCATAATTTTTTCATGTATATTGCAGGGCCAATAACAAAATGACAGGAATCCCTCAGGAAGGTTCTTCCTTTTGCAATGCAATGTATTTCTTTGTTAAAACTCCTAGATATCGTAAACCAATCACTAACGATGATAATTAGTTAAGGTAGCCGTTTCAAGGTTACATGTAATTCATACTAATATCACTCTCTAAAACCAAGACGGGCAAATTAAAAGTATTTCTCCACAACAGATAAAGTTATATAGTTTTCGGCAAACACCTTGTTACGACTTATTTAACCAATTATATACCATTCATACGTTTCAGCTATGGGGACCTTGTTCCGAGAACAATCATTGGACAACTGATTGGAAGTGTTGGCTGTATTGTTGGCGTGTTAATGATCGCTTTACCTGTTCCAATTATTCAGAAGAAGGTGAGCCATTTAATAAATGTTCATTATCAGTATTGCTACGTTCTCTGCCATGTCTCAGTTTTTGTTTGACTGTGTTCCTTTTTTACTTTCATCACCTTTTTTGCCTCAGTTTTAATCATAGACTTTATCGTTTTCAAATTTGTCTCGCTCTCTCCCGATGTATTGCTGCAATGGACATGTTGTCAATCCCGTTTTTTTGTGATTCAGGATAAATGTAATTTCTGACATTTGAGAGACATGGGAACGAATTAGTCAGAAACTAATATTCTTAGGGCACGTTGAAGAGCCTCGCATGGCATCATGGAAGTTTCGGATTATTTAAGCGTTTCGCGTGAAAATTAAGTCATTCTAGGTTGGTCACTCTTATGTTTGACCACTCTCTTTTTCTCGTATTGATGTAATTTTCGTTTTTCAAATCCCTGTAAAAAATATCACTACATTCATTGATTTTTCTTTGTGATAAGCAGTGTAACCAGGTTAGTTTACCCTTTCCTCGGGGTATTGTGCTGCTACATTAGATGAGGAATACGTTTCCACATATTTTTTGGTCACTTCTAAAGAGTGGTCTTTTAGTGGTTTTTCGCATCTGGCGTAGCACAGGTTCTTTTGTAGAACCCTTAGTTTTCAGTATACACATGTTAGGATCAAATTAGGATGCATATACTACAAGACTCGCCGACTCATCCTAAATAAACTTTTCACATTAAATAACTCGTCTGAGTGTAGTCAGAATTTTGTTACCTTGATGACATATGGACGTGCCCAATTGTTAACTCTGATGTCACAAAAGCTGAGAGCGAGAAGTATTTGAAAAATCGACAAGAAAAACATAAAAAAGTAATGTTATAAATCTCTGCTTTTCACAGGCAAATTTACAACTTGGACTTTTGGATGAAGTAGACGAGGCTATGGAAGCAGAGCTCTGATTGAACGTTGATCATTGGCAGCTGGATCATTCGGTAATCACGTGCTGGATGCATAATGAATATTAAGAGAAGCACAGAGCCTGTGACTGTGGTCTGTGAATCCCTTCAATCTACAGTTTGGTATCTCTAGTCAGTTCGTAGGGTTTCTTGGAGAAAAAAATAATTGCCATCCATGTATATTTTGGAAATGACAAGTGTTTCCAAGCGGTAACGTGAGAAAAAAAATTAAAAATACAATTCTGATCTAAAAGATCAGCTTTTTAGAGAACACTTAATGGATAATTGAATTTAGACTGAGAGTCAAACGTTAATAGCCACTTCTTTCAGGTTATCATTTATCAGTGTGATTATCATCGGCTTTGATACTGATCATCGCATTTCTACAGACTTAAAGGAGAAATATGATCCAGAAATCATATTTTCTCATTTTCTTCATTAAAACTTATGTATAAGAATTGAACCAAGCCACGTTTATAGCTTCAAGAGGGTAACGCACAGTTTTGAAAACTGTATTCAAATGTGCTGATCATGAGAGAACGACTACAACCTCTGCTCATGAAACTTGCGGAGCAATCTGGACGCTAACCTTTGACTCGGGAGAGTCTCGCTCCTCTATCTACCATGCTCTGCAATCCGTTGGAACCACTATCAAGAGGTGCAAAAATAGGTATTCTTAACTCAAACAGTGACTATCTTTATTTTTTGTTAGTGTCCGATATTCGTCGTGGCTTTGCGCATGTGACCAATTTACTAGGTTGCTTTTAAAATGGCGGCGTCCATTTCAAAACAACTTTTGAAAAAATCTCGGTAACCCATTGTAATCTTTTACAGTGCTGCAAAGAAAATTTTAATCTACACCAATGAATAGAGGAGATGTAACTGATTATATCTTGTCTACTTTTCCTTTAATAATAACCATTAATATGTGTGTGACATTATTTAACATATGTTCTAGAAAAATAAACCAATTAAGACAAACGTCTGTTAATTCAATATTTTCCGTACCAAGGAAGAATTGCAATAAAAATCAGTTTAGTACTATTGTACAATATGAAACAGTTGTCTGGTATTGTTGTCTGTGGTAAGCAGGATACCATTGTTTCTTGTCACTTCCTGAACCTTTAAGAGACCTTGAAACTTGTATTCATGTATTCAGACAGATCACTTGCTCTTATCCATGCGTTGTCATTAAATATGATGGTGACAGTCGTTAACACTTCACTGCAAGAAAAAGCAACATGCGACGTGACATGTTTTATTAGTGTGGCCTATAGCTCAGTTAGTTACAGAACAGTCTACAAATCTGGGGCCATAAAGTTTTGGCATCGTGCCGAAGGGAAAGGTGAAAGTTCCGTAACCCAAATTAATAGATTCTAGAAAAAAAAATTCTTTCTCACAGCTTGAGGATCTTATCGAACTCCCAGAGCCTGTTTATGAAACAGTGCCACTTGGGTGGCATATTACTGAATATTATAAGCATTGCTGACCAAAAGGCCTGCCTGAAAAATTCAAAGCGCCTCGTTCAACAATTACCTTACCTTGAACTGCAGAATGGGTACAGGTAAAGCAATGACAAGCACTCCAAACAGACAACAGGCGCTTCCCACCAGCCGACCAGCTAGTGTCACGGGTATGATATCACCATAACTTGAATAAGAAAAAGTAACAATCCTAGGTTATGTTGCGGGCATAGCTGAAAAAAACTCATGTGCAGAGCAACCTTGCAAAAAAACGCATGTAAACGTTATTATAGATATAAATGATATTTTTATTAAATAGCTTTAAGGGGAAACTTTACTGATGAACCAAATTTTTCAGTGTATCACCGAGGGTCCAATACAAGCCGTCACCGACAGGTGACCTGGCCACAACCTCGCAAACGTTTCGACTGAAGAAGCTGACTCAAGGCCGGCGACACACATGGCGACGGATACCCTTTTTCGCGGCGAAATTTGTTGCGACGACGAGGCACTTCAATTAAAAACCAAAAACCTCCGTTCCCGGCGTGATAAACTGATAGACGTACTCGCAGCGATGATAAAATCACGGAAACAGAAGCAGCCGGCGTATAGCGATATTGAAATGAAATTAAAGCTTGGCGTGTCGACAATATTGAACACCTATCGCGGTAATCAGTGGACACCGCCATCGCTGCACAAGGTAAACTTAGCGATGATTTCCGCTGATAGCCGGGATCAAAGAATGAAATCACATGGTATGTCACCGGCGTAATCTGTTAAAAAGCTTTCAACTGGAAATACGATAAAGTTATGCGATTTTTGGAACTTATTTTTCAACTTATCCTTATCTTTACATACCCTGCTGTAGTTGATGTGATCACTGCGTACCACATGGCTTCGGGAATGCTGGAAAACTGTGTGTCCTCGGAATATTCGGCGAAATAGATGATACTCGAAACTAAAATAACCATGACCATATACAGGAATCCTATCAGGCCTAACTCAGTGGCAGAATCCTTCATGCTTTGGATCAACTGTTTTAATCTCTTAGAATGGCGCAGTAGTTTGAAGATGCGAAGTATCCTTAAAACTCGTAACACCACTAGAGCATTCATGCCGAGTTGGGCGTCAAACGACAGAGCGTTTAAGATCAAGTCAATGTAATACGGCAGAATTGCGAGCAGATCCACGATACTCATGAGGTTGATGATAAATTTAAGACGGCTTGGACAAGTTAACAACCGCGAGACAAACTCGAACGTAAAGAAACCTACACAGACTGTATCAATATAGAAATAAGTGTTCTCGTTTTCCTCTTTGCAAATTCGTATCGTTCCTTTACACGCGATTGTTTCAGTCGTGTTTGCCACCACGCTGATCACAATTGCGGTGACACTTATCAGATAAAAAATCTTCGCATATAAAGAAACAGACGGTTCTTTAAGTGTAAGCCAAACCTTTTCTCTAAAGGAGGCGTTTGGATCAATGCTATGGACAGCCTTTGCGGCCTCTTTATCCTTAGCTTCTTGTTCCTCTCGTCTCTTATTTAATCTTTCGTAAGCTGCTTCAAACGTCTCGAACCAGCAGCACTCACAAAGCATACTAATGTCCAACCCGAAAAACGCCACTTCGTCTAAGAAAGATTGGACGCAATCATCTCGCGGACAATGGAGCTGTCCAGAGTGATAAAAGTTCCAAATGTAGCGAAAGGTGTCTGGATCGCGGTCAAAAAAGAATTCGTTCTTGATCTTATCATAAAAAATATTTCTTGCTTTACTTCCCAGCAATGTGTTTGGATAGATGGAAAGAAAATAATCTCGAATTTGGAAACGTCTGCCACTCACATTCAGAACAACAATTTTGTCGTCGTCGGGGAAATCAATTTCTGGTCGTTTACGACGAGATGAATGCGAATTCGTACTGCGGATGCTATGTTTTGAGGAGCTGTGGAACTTGGAGAGAAATTTCGACGGAGATATTAGCGACAAAAAACTTTTCATTATGGACGTTTCGCTTCTACCTGAAGATTCCGCAAATGCTGAAGATGTAGAACTGTTGATGCTACACGATGCATGCGTAAATTTCTGAACTGAATATTTTTTCCTTTTAAGATAGGAAACTTCGGAAGGACGATCTTGCAATAGAGATTTTGAACTTCCCTCTGAAGAATGGTTTGAGTCGGAAAAATGGGCCATGTCTGGATGAAGAAACGATGACTTTTTCTTCAACCTGGCGCTCGAGAGGTTTTTTAATCTTTCGCCTGACTGTTCAACTTTCAACCTATCCCCCACTGAAGCAACAGACTTTGCGCTTGATCTCCATTCTCGAGGCACTGGAACTGCAAGGGGATTGCTGTAGAGCCTTAAATTAGGGGTCGATAATTGTTTACAAGTAGATCCACTCATTGGAATTGGGACGTTTTGTGGTGTAGTGTAGCTTTGTGTACCCACGCTCGAGGATCTCTTCGGTTTGGTTGTCGAAAGACGATTCAAGTCATTTTCCGATTCGTTTCTGTTTATGAATGTGTCGCACACCACTGGAGAGACGATTTCGTCAGCCAGAGTGTCTTTGTCTGTGACTTCCTCGTTGAGAATTTGGTTTGAAAATTCGAAAGATAAACCTTCTGAACTTGGTGTTGACATAGGTGTGTAATTTGTGGCTATTAAACAACAAAGTTGTTTGGACGGATGCCCGCAACAGGTTGATTTGTTCCGATGTAAGTTCGGTGTGGAACGGGCAACAGGTAAACAAACACCGCCTTCGTTCAGCTTAGTCAAAATTTCTCCCGATCTGTTCAAAGAAGCTGAAGAATCTCGCGCTAATTTCACGGAAATGTCTTGAACGCTACAAGAGCAGGCGAGAGGTACTTCGTCAGCACTTTTACAAGACAGTCGGCTGTTTGAATCAGCATGATGAATACTCTCGTTTTTCGGCGTATGGTCTTGGCAGACACTTGCGTCGTTGTCAAGTGAAAACTCAGAAGTTGATGGAGATGAAGGAACAGAGAGCGATAATTTCCTAGGCCTAAATGAAGTCATAGAGACATTTTGTAATGATGGCGGAGCGAGAAACTCTTTCGAATTTCTTCTTATCAAACTTTGTTCAGACATGCTTGTTCGCGCACAAGGTGACAATAAAACAGCTGGCACTTCAAGATTATTTTTGTTTGAAAATTCAGCGGCTTTGTTACGTTCTTCGTCGTCTTCTGAAACTTGAATTATGGGCGAGAATAGTGTACGCGGTATTTCTTTAGAGGCTTCTAATGAAGAATCGTTGAAGAAATGATTGTCTTCTTCCATATCATGATACTCACTCATGTTTGAAATAGTGTTTGATCCCTGTTGGGGATGCGATTGTAGTCGTTAAATTCTGGTGCTAAAAAAACTCGTAAATAAAACTTTAATAAACCGCATTTTCCAGTTTACTAAATCTTCTTGGCTCCAGTTTTTTAATCTCTAACGAGAAACGCTCTCCTCTCTCCGCCGTTAAGTTCAAAGTTTGTACCAAATCCAGTAAAGGTTCCAAGACCAGCATTGATGAGAGCTGTTTCAGTAACTATTCTTTCCCTGTTTCAACTTCCTTTAGGCAAGCGGAGATTTCTGTGTTTGACAAACACAAATCAAATATTGTCTTTAAATTTCCGCACCTTTGTCAAAATCAACAGATATTTCGTCTGCGTGGAAATTTTTAACACAATTGATGTTTCCAATAACGCTTGTCTCGCATCACATCACTTCCTTCTTTGCAGAATCCCACGCAACGAAAGAAATGATTCTCGGGCGAACATCGAGAAATACTGCCGATTTATTAAATCACGAGTTTGAAGTCATTAAATAAACATCAGTTTGCGCACCTCCAAAGAAAAGAAAACTGCAAAATAACGTAAAAGGAGGCTCTCGGATTCGATGAGTTCGGTAATTTTTTGAAGAATTTGGCTTTCGATCGATCAATAAGAAAAATTAGCATCCTTTCACAAAACAAAGTGGGTAGACACACTTCCCAGCGGGTCTTTGAAGTAAAGTAATAACAATTTTGAACTCACGGAGACACCAACCCAACAAAAACAGAGATAAGCAGTTACAAGTGAGAAGCGATTCTTTAAACTTTAATAAGCCTGGCTTCTATCGTGGAATCTATTCGGAGCCAGGGTGAGTTTCATAACAATCAACTTCTTTTTAGACAGCAAAAATTCCTGAAATAAAAAACTTAAAATACTCCATTTACAAATGTTTTATGAGCAGGGATTCTGGTACAAATTTCAATCAAAAACATCTTAATTAACGCACCAATTTTCAGAAGTGAAATTAACCGTAAATAAAACAATGTAAATGGCTTTGAGTGATGTACGTAAGCAGTAGAAAAAGATCGATGAGTTGATAAGATGGTACCCAACTCAGTGGATGTAAAATTCTTAGACAATAAATTACGGTTAGATAGTTTTGACATAAATATTCTCTTGGGGTCTATGCGATTTGTCAGAAAAGATCGTTCCATTTGCGCATAGCTAGATACTTGTTCACGGGCAAAAGTTTTCATGTTCGAAGACAAAACTAAAATGTCTAGATCGTTCGTCCTTAATTTCTTTACGTCCGAGTTTTATTTACAGGTTTTTATTAGGTTTGTGATAAGGAAATAAATTTTTTTCAGAGTATAACACCTTTTGTAATTAATTTTTGTGGAGATTAGCTCAAGAATATATCATTTCTATCCCTTCTCAACCAAACGAAACATCTAAGACTTAACAAGTTGAAAAACAAATACGTACTGTTACAAATGGACTATTCAAACATAAATTTCTCCTTAATTTACGAGCCGATAAGAATCGCACTTTCATAAACAAAGCTCGATATTGTCGCGTTGTCTAAAACGTCTTCCCTGCAATGAGGGGAAACAAGGGCGCTTGGTAATAAATAGGATTCATTGTAGTGTTCGTCATAACGTGGCTTAAGTTTATCGCATCCAGGCTTGAGTTAATGAAATAATTTTGTCTAGACATTGTTTGGCTACTTTTTGAAACTGTGATTATGCCATTTGCCTTATTTAATAAAAGCAATCTTCTCTTCCACGAGAGGACAAATGTTTCTATTAAAGGAAAGCTGTCAAATAAGATATAAGACGAAGTGATCTCAGATTAAACTCGAATGTCTTTGGATGGTTTCAAAATGTTCAATAAAACGTTCCCTGTGGTTGAAGGTCAAGGAAATCATCCTAAAATAAATTCACTGACGTCATTCTAGTTATCTACCGCTAACCGTCTCGATTTTAAGGCCTTTGACTTGGTTTTTGACAGAAACTTTGACAATGTTTACTTCAAGCGTCACTTCGAAAGAAAAGGCTTTAATATAACTCTCTAGCTTTTCAGAAAAAATGCTCGAGAAAGAAAATTCCTCACTAGTGAGGGTGGAGACTAATTTTAATTCCAAAAAATTTAAATGATAACGATGTTGTCGATTTTCTCTGGTTTAGGCGGCGACATCATATAGCACCCTAGCACAACGTTGGGTTCTTTACTTACGCCCTCGCATCATTCTTCAAATCAAAACTTTCTTCTATGAAATACAGGCAAGCTTCCGATATATACTTTTCACTTGTACTGTGATAACGCCGACCACTGCGCTCTGATTGATTGCCAAGAGTTTATTTGTGGCCTCAAGTCACTGCGTAAACACTAGCGTGCGATCTTGCTATGAACCTCGCCAAAATGGTATGTAGTTAGAAATGACCCTTGAAGATAACACTCCTTTAAATAAACAAAGAAAATATAAGGCTCGTACAATCTATTTGGAATTTATTCATGAAAATACTTTGTTTGCATTATTCGTTCTCTCATAAAATTTACATCTATACTTCTTTTATTAAGCGTTAGCCATATATAAGACAGTTATTTACCAACGACTTATTTATCAACAAGGATACTTGTGTCACCTCACAGAAATTGATAATTCAACACAACGAAAGACGTCGTGGGTAGAAAAAGTTACATATACAATAGTCACTGCTTCCCTTTTCCTTCTCATCAATTCAAAGTTTGCTACAATGTACTGAGAGTTAAATTTGGAACTGGAAATGAAAGCAAGATAGTGCAGAGTGACAAACTCATGTCCAAACAAGGAACCATAGTCATCTCAAAATGTATGAAAATTCAATGTCATTACTTTTGTTGGGTAAATACTTAGTTTTCAATTGTTTTTGTAAGGCATTAACCAATTTTTCCGAGAAATTATCTAACCTTAATTATCAAGGTGTGCGAGGAACAATGACAAGTCCCCTAAAAAACCTCATAATGCCGCATTCAACTCCTAATCTCTCAGCAACCGAAAAACTAAGTCACCCTGTAGAAGACAGCCCAGCGACTATCAGCAGATAGTATTCCCTCCATATGTTCTTTGATCGTCACTGTTAATCAAAATTGGCGTTGTCTCCTCACTCATATTTTTACTGATAAAATACTTTCTGATTCTCTTCTGTTCAATAAAACCACTTTTTGGAAATTGTCTGTTTCTACACATGACGTACTGAACGAAGCAACCGAGAAATGACAAGAAGACCCAGGCTGCAGACAAGATGTAATCTAGGAAGAACAACAATAGGTATACCATTACATTTTATGCAATGAAATTTTCACATTCGAAGCTTAGGGCGCAGACCATTCCACAACGGTTCTTTAGGCGAGGCAAGATTACTCACCATTTCGCTGGAAAGGCCTCGTAACATTTATATGATCGCGCCGATACTGTGGCTTGGTAGCATGAAGAATGACATCGATCACTATAAAGGAAATACTTGTGTGGATGAAGAAATCAATACCTAGAAAAACCAAGTCATTCAAAGAATTAGTAACAAGATATCATTTGTCTATTGATAACTGTTGATTATGCACAACACGATGGTCAATTGAAACAGCAATCGTAAAACTTAGACTATCCAACTGGAGATCCCCAAGCCTAAATATCTGAAATTTTGAGATTGGAGTCATTCAAATTCCATCAATACCATGTTCCCGGAGGAAAGAGGAGTTTAACCCTTTAACTCCCAAGATTTAATAAGTAATTCTCCTTACTGTCTGCCATACAATTTATGTTATGTTAGTTTGGAGAAATTGGAATTGGATCAACTAATAATCCCCTTTCTGTATTCTCATTACTTGTCTGCTTGATATCATACTGATAATGTAAGGAGAAATTCTGTTTAGGTCACTAGTGGAACTTAAAGGGTTAAGCACTTCACCATAATCACCACACTGTTTTGGAAAATGAATAAATTAACTCAGCCATGATTTCCATTTTCCACACATTGTTAACTTTTGTTACATCCACTAATACTTTCTCCATCCCATTCACCAACTGAGGTACTTAGGAAAAGGTTATCATTGCTTTTGTGTGATAGATTTTTAAATGAATGTGTAATTAAATCATGCTAACCACAGATACTCATACTGGATATGTGACACATGGTAAGGGCATTGAAACAAGTAATATGCATACTTACCTACAATAAAAGCATACGCAGACACAATGGAAGTGTAAAGAACACAGAGCTGGGGAGTAAAATTCAACATCTATCAGCTTCAGTTTAGGAATTCTATTAAAAGCCTTGAGTGTAAAATTGCAGAAAAAATGACTCCACCCTGGCATTAATGGTAAACACTGTAACACTGAACATTAAGATTACACAAACATTTGTAGGCTTGTTCTGACACCAATTACTATAGAGTGAGCAAGGTTATTTGATGAGTTGTTTCTACACAAAAAGTTATGCTATATCAACAAGAAAAGGGAATACTTATGACAAAAGAACAAAATCACTGGTTACAGTGCCACTAGAAAAGTGCTGACATTTGAAGTGTAAGTTCTTCAAACAAAGAGAAAAAAACTTAATGATGGATGATTGACCTCAAAATTGGTTAACACCTGCCTCATAAAACTATGGACATCAAGTAGGATGATACCCCACATGAAGACAATCAAATATTACAGACTTCTTTACTTAGCAGTAATAATTGAGCAGAAAATTTCTTGACAAAGATTTTACATACAAATAAAAAATGTGCTCCATTCCCAACATGTACATTCCTTTCTCAAATAACTTCAAACTGCCCTTCTATAAGCTTTCCGCTAAATAACACACCATGTCATTACAGTACTAAGAGTGCTGTCCTTACCAGAAAAGGCCAAAGTAACAAAATCACTGGAAATACTAGAGTACATGCACAGACGATGGCCCCATAGTCAAAGTCACTGCCTTTAACAAAGTCCAGGTCCCCTGAAATTGCAAAATAGACTGGCTTTAATAGTTATTCAGAATCAAAATAATAAGTCAATAAGAATTTTTGCTGAGCACTTGTATTGTGATACTCCAATGTATAGGCACATGAGTGATTACATTTAAGTTGTTAAGTTTAGGCATGACACAGTAGCTAATGTACAAATAGCTCATTTTTCCACTACCTTTTGGATCAGGAGGAGAATATTTTAAAAGCAGTAAATGCAATTATTTTCAGTAGAGACCTGATGACAAAAAGCTCAGCTTCTGTCACTCAGCATTTGTTCTCTGTGCTTGAACTTTCTACAGATTAACACATAAAAAAACCAACTTAACCTCTCTACTCACCAAATGGTGTGAACAGTAGTGTTGCTCCAATCAAGAAACCAAGGAGCAATGAATTGAACAGGAGACAAATCTTTGTCCACTCTGTAAACCACCACAAAGCAAACAACAACAAACCAAAAACTACACCTAACCCAGCACTTGTCAGCATTGTACCTGATAAATTAATTGAAAAAAAAAAAAAAAGGTACATGTTAAAAAGGAAAATAATTATGAACAAAATTTTTTGGCTCATGAATTGTTTCATGACCCGTGAATAAGTGATTGTCAGCATTTCACAAGTATTTAATTAAACAGGAAAAAAATCTATGAACAGACACAGAACTCATGTTAAGTAAGGATGAAACATATTCAGGTATTTTTAGGTAAGGTAAAGCCTCCTATCAACTTAGACCAATATTTAAACTCAGGGCACCCTACATACCAAGATGACTTAAGTTACTGTTGGCATCGATGATGATGA